CGATCAGCAGAGCGATTCAGCAAGCTGGATACCCACAGGAGCCAACAATTCCCACTTGTAAGTCTGTGGGTCTGAGAACCAAGAGGCCGGACATCATGTGGCTCTAAGTCCAGAGGCTGGCCAGCTACCTGCCCAGGAAGTCCTGACACATCGTTTCCAATCCAAAGATAAGGAGTTAAGCCAGTGCCTGAACATGAAGGTGGTCAGGTGGAAACAAAGCCCTCTCCCTTGGGGAAGGTCTGCCTGTGGTCCTATTCAGCCCTGCACCTGTGTGGGTGAGGTTCACTCACATTGCAGAGGGCAACCAAAGCACCTCCAACTGAGATACCCAGGACAGGGCTGGACCATGCCTGGACCTTGTCCGGTTGACACATACAGCAACTACAAGGCTGATGGAGTCAGGCAGGTGGGTGATACCATGGGCAGTACATAACACATGAAAGTGGGAGAGGGGATTGTGCGGTTGTACAGTAAGCATATCTATTTTCCTCCTGTGTTTGGCGTATCTTTATTTGCAAAGACCAGGAAAGAATACAGAGAAAGGTACAGTTGGCACACAGCAAAGCATGTCTCCATCGACTCCTGCCTCTTAGCGCATTGCCACAGGCTACTCTGCCACTCTATGTGAGTTTGCAGGAGTCAGGGTGTGGTGTGTGTGTGTGTGTGTGTGTGACTGCTAACCAGGGCTAGGGCATGCTGAGGAAAAGTAGGCTAAATAACAACAGGGAAATTTCTAGGCAAACCCAGCCTGCACCCTTCCTGTGCTTGCTGCCGCTTGCCGGACGCAGTGCTGCTGTTTCAAGGCAATTGCCAAGTATATGATCGTGAGCAAAATATTAATGGCAACCTTGAAGAGTCGTGCACCCCCCTCTTGTTCCTTCAAGTGCACATTTAAGGCTTTCTGGAAGCGATCTGTCCCTTCGTGTTTTTCTATTTCTCCGGAAATGACTGTTCCTGTGGTTAATTCTATATGAGAAATATTTAGTTTCTTCCAAAATATTGTCGCACAGAATGTCGGTGTGTAATGCAAAGTCCCTTAAAATACCTATGAGCTCTGATAATGCAATTAGTATTGCTACTCTTAATGCTGCTGAATGGTTCTTCACTCTGCCTTCCAATTCATCAGTTGTGTGATTGGACTTGCTAATTGGCCTCCTTGGACCCCAAGTCCTTTAATTGTTAAGTGAAAGTTTGGATAAGAGGATCATTACCGAGTCTTCTAGTTTTAATTCTGTGCCCATGGTTTTCATGGCTTTAATAACCACATTCTCCTCCCAACCTAGTTCGTTCTTTAGTTTAGGAGGTACTCTACTGCCCTCAAGTGGTCATATATGAAATAACATACAGGTGATTACTGCAGCCATTAGACAGAAACCCTGTCTTTTAAATAAAAACAAATAAACCTTAAAAAAAAAAAAAAACCACAATGTTTTGCCTAATAATGATTATTCACGAACGGCCATGATGCAAATTAATGAAGAGATAAATATTGATTATCTCAGCTATTTAAACTTTATCCCCTCTGAATGTGAAAAATCTGTTTTGAAATCAGTTTCAAGAGTGAAAGTGTCTTATTCTCTCCGAGACAGGTGCCAGATGCTGAGGATGAAGATGGGACAGGGCACTGGAGTCTGCGTGAGCCTTTGGCTTGTCAAGCTCTGGCCTTTTCACCTCAACTTCTCCCCTCCACATATTCACTGAAGCCTGGTGGTTTTGCAAACCCATGAGGTGACATTTTTTTTTTTTTCTGAGGCAAATTGCCTCTCCAGTTTGGGTACTATTGCCTGTCATTTTTCCCTATGCTCTCTGGCCTACAGGGCTTCCCGTGATGCTGAGAAGGAAGGCAGGGTCCCTGATTTTACAAACTCCACCTACAAGTTTTTTACACTTATTTTGTTTGCCTGGGACCTTTCTTTTTCTTAATATCTCTTCCTTGGGCTCATGAGATCTTTGCCCAGCGGGAGAGGCCGGAAGGCATGTCCTTCTCACGGATCCCATCTTATGCCGGGGGACTGGGGAGCAGAAGAGGCAGAGGGCAGTATCAGTGCACGTGTCAATGACATATTCAGGATCAAAGATAACCAGGATTCTTTCCTTCCATCATGAAGCCGACCGATGTTGCTTATGTTCAGTTAAGTATGGGAGCAGCTAAGAGGGTGTTAATCTGCTGCAAGGTACGATAGCTGGGTGAAAAAGCATTGCCTTCGTGCACTGGACCCAGAGTGGGAAAGCACTAGGTCAGGGGCCCAGTCTCAGGCTATGAGCAGAGAGCTGGCAGCGCGTCACCAGGAGTGGTTAATAGCAGTGCTAAGCTAAACCCATTAGCGCTGTCTCACAGTGCAGGCATGCAGCGAAATGAAAGCATTCGTCTGTCCCCGTTTATCCAAATGTCAGCGGCATGGAAACGAAAGGAGGTTTCCATGGAAACCACTTGTAGTTGCAGGTGTCTCTTGAGGCAGTTTCTTGCACTCACTGTTTGGGGACAGAGGTCCACCTCACGGCTTTTCCTGACTGGGCAGCAGCCGGCTGGGGAACTGGCCACTTCCACCTCTCTTCCGCTGCGTTCTGAGCAGCCCCTGCTGCAGCATCGCCATCTTCTTCAGCTGAGAAACCAAGCCAGGTGGCTCGCCGAGTTTCAGAGTCTGCCCACGAACAGTGGCTTGTGAAGCAGCAAGTCTTCTGTTTGAGACAGGAGGGAAGCTTGAATGTCACAGATGTAACACGTTTTCTTATCCCTAACCCGGAACATCCCAGTAGAACGTCGCTGAGAGAGGAATGAGGGGCGTTGTCAAGTGACTTGAGGAGTCCAACAAGCAAAAGCAAAAATAATGATCCAAGGCGGAGAGCTTGCGGCGTTCGTCAAATTTTTTGATGTAATTTCAAAGATTAAAAAGGAAAAAAAAAATGCCATATCTTTCTACACAGAGACTAGGCCATTTATTACCTCGAGGAATAATGTACCTTCCCATGAAAGCAAAAACACTCAAAAGAAAACCAACCAACGGATCAGTTCGAGGGGAGCTCGGTGACTCCTGACAGTGGTCAGAGCTGATCCGAAGCCGGAGTCAAGCAAATATGTGGGCACAGGGTCCCGAGGCTTTGGGCCATCCTGTGCTTTCCCAGCCACAAGCAGGGAACTGGATGGGACGTGGAGCAGCTGGAATGTGAATCAACGTTTAAACGGGATCCTGGTGCTTGCAGGTGGAGGATTAGCTTGCTAGGTCTTCTTTATGATATTAGAACAGGCCTTGCATAACTTCAAGATTTTTGAACTTCTTCGCTCTGTCAACATAAGCTGGAATCCGTGTGGCTCACACTCTGTGCCTTTGTTGTCTCAACTGCCAGCACACCTTCTCACATCTCCGGCATCTCCTTTTCCTGCCTGGTCAGCCCCTGCCACTTGCAATGATTGTTCTGGCTCCTGTCTACTTATTTGTTTCAACACCAGCTCCGTCGGGATCAGTCACCAGCTGGACCCTTCCTCCCTGGAACAATGCCCGACACCCAGGAAGTGCTTGAGAAATATTTGTGGATGGGAGCTTATAAAATAAAGTTTAGGGACTTTATAAAATTTATATCAACTCTCTTGGAGTAAGCACGATTGTCTGCTGTTTAAATGGGTTGCGAAAAGGCAGGACCTGCCATGTGGGGGAAAAAAAAATTCAGTTAAAAATAGAATGTAGGGACTTGCGTGAGTAATAAGAAAGGGCTAAATACCAGGAAATTGACAAAGCCAATGTAGACAGTGATATCTGAAATCACTATAAAAATCCCATCTTTGTTCTCATACTTTCTGGGAGCAATATGTCTTACCATGGAAGGATGGAACAAGAACTCCATGTTTGTTTGTTTAACTCCTCCTACCTGCGTTCAAAGCAAAAGCAAGAACTCATCAATCCGACACTGGGTCTCAGGGGGCTCTGGCACGGACGTTGAGGACATCAGGAAACCTTGTTTAGGACAGATTAAAGCAGTCCCAGGCAAGCCAGCGTCGCAGACGTGTGACCTAATTAGAAGCCATTACTTGCAAGGGTCCATTGCTTGAGTTAATGATCTGTTGCTGCCTAGAAATTCTGAAGGAATCATGAAGAACTAGCATGTTCCTTGGACACCAGGCAAGGCGTTAACTAGCCGTCAGTCCAAAAGAAGACGCTTTTTTTTTTTTAAGGCTTATCTTATATATTCGAAAAGCAGAGTGACAAAGCAAGAGGGAGAAGCAGAAAGGAAGAGGTTTTTCCATCCACAGGTTCACTCCTCAATTGGTCCCAACAGCCAGGGCTGGGCCAGGCCGGAAGCTCCATCTGTCACCTCGGAGTAAAGTGAGAAAGAGGGAGAGATCTTACAGATTAAAAAAAAAAAAAAACAAAAAAAACAAATGGTAAGGAACGTTGAGTATTTAGCAAGTACTGGGTGTTGCTGACGTGTTTTGCACAAGTGCTGGGGGTTTTGTACAGTGGTGATCACGGGGCCTGGAGCCCTGCATCTCTGAACAAAAGTGCCTGAGTTCAAGTCCCAGCTCTACTTCCAACTTCAGCTTCCTGTTCATGGAGAACATTCTGGAGGTCGCTGCCACCCGCTTGAGACGCACCCGCTTGGAGAACTGGGCCTCAGGTTTGCAAGCAGAGTAGAAAACAAGATTAAAGTCAAGCTACTTTTTAACTGAATGCTTCCATAATTATATATAACATAATTTTCACACATAATATGCACATATGTAGATATATAAATACATATTTTAATAAAATATATAAATATTATCTATATATATATATGGAAGAAAAATGAACATGCAGGAAACACAGCAGTTTGCATTTTCTCTCTGGGAGTTAAAAAAAAAAAGCTTAAATAAATAAAGATAAGAGCCACGCTAGCGAAAAAATCCAGCGCCAGAATCCCCAACGCAGGGATTTGCAGGCCTGAAGTCCCAGTCTGCACCCCAACTGGGCTCCTCCCGCCCCAGCCCAGCCAGGCAGGGGGAGGAGCCGAGGAATCGAAAGAGAAAACGTGTCGGAGCTGGGTGGCGGAAGACCTCGGGCGCCGGGAGCGGAGATCGCGGGCCCCGGGATGCAGCTGCGGGCCTTGCCGTGGCTCTGGCTGCTCTGCTGCGGCTGCAGCGCGGGAGGCGCCGGCGGCGGTTCGGGTCCCAGCGCCGCCCTTCCCCTGAGCCGGCCGCGGAACCCGGAGCGAGAGACCGCCGCCTTCCGGGTACCGAGCCCGCCTCCCTGTGTCTGTGCTCGTCTCTCCCTGTCCTGGGGCCTGGGGCTGAGGGGCTCACGTGGCTGGGGGGTCACCCGGCGTGCAGCTGGGCACGTGCGCCGGCCAGTCTCCCCTGCGGTGCCCACGTGCCGGCCTATTTCAAACAAAAGGTTGTATTGATTTCCCCGGAGAGACCTGGTCGCTGCGGATTTATGATGCGCGCCAAAGTCAGCAGTGGGCTTGTGCACAAACGCTGGCCTTTGGCCGTTCCCGGTGGCTTCCAAAGCTGTCCTAGGTCACACTTTAGGGAACCTGAAATGGGCTGCGTACCTATCTATCCGCAGGAGAAATCTGGCTTTTTTAAATTTCTTTTTTCCTTCCTAGGGGGGCGCTGGTAACCTCCTTTTGTGATCAGGAAAGTATGAGCAAAAAGTAGCTTGCATTTAGCAAAGTCAGACAGGATTGCTCGGGATTTATGGTCCCCAGCCACCCACAACCCCTTTGTCCTTGCGCCGTTGGAAATTACCCCCGACTTGGTGGAATGCTAAAGAGAAGCCTTTCACTGTCTTTGCTGGACTTCCTGCAGCCTGCGTGAGTGAGTGAGTGTGTGTGTGTGTGTGTAGCCAATGCAATTATTCATACTGGTGCTGCACAGAGCCCAGGCAGGAGAGAGCAATGCATGGCAAATGCAGCTTTCCCAGGAGAAGTAGGATACAGGTTGGAAGATGGGGAATTGCAGGTGGAAGGGGACAGAGTCAGGATACTCCTCATGTCCGATTGTGACCTGGGTAAAAGTCTCTGGTTCCTTATCACACACGCCATGTGCAGAACCTGCAAATTCCCCCATGCTTCACCAGGAAGCAAAATTTTAAAAGTAAAGATTTTATAGCTCAGAGCAATAAAGCTCTCCCAGTTACGCTCTAGAAGCCCTGTACATTGTACTGTGAAGAGCAGGTGGCTATTCAGCACCAGGTCCCGATGTCTTTGGATCCTGGTATCGTGTTTAGGGGTGCAAATAGATGCCGTGGTGTTTGCAGAGAGGCTTGTCAGTGGGACAACTTGAAGCGTGATGTGGGAGGTATTTAGAGCGAGGCGGCCGCAGACCCCTTGGTCTTCATCGGGAGTGTTTGTACGGTCATCTGCTGCCGTCCTATCTTGATTCTAACGTGTGAGCTCTAAGAGCCAAACGTGGACTCGCAATCCACTGTACTTGTGCGAAGTCTGCCTCACAGTCAGAACGGAAGTGGGCCAGAAAAGTCGCATGAAAGAATATTGATGCAGGAAATAAGATATGGGCATTTTAAATTTTTAAATAATTTGAAATGAATGTGGAATGTGTCCTACTGGTATACCCAATAGGCTGGGTATACTGATAATTCTATTTTACCAAGAAAACCACTTTAACTCCAGGAACTCTGAGCATGATAATGGAATGACCTTTTCTATATTCCAAATATTCCCTATTTAAAGGCAAAGGAAGACATACGAGAGGGCTAAATGGCCACTGACTCTATCATGACCATAAGGCGTGTTTGATTGACTTAGTGCCATCTTAACACTGAGATTGAAGCAACTGTGGATTTATGATTCAGTTATTTGTCCTATTTTGAGCAAGATTCATTTTTTACTAGCTTCTCTGATGGTAGTTGGGTTTCTGCTGCTTCCTTTACCTCTTTTGAAAGGAACCAGGAAGAGAGCTTTCTGAAGGAGGAGGGAATGAGATGGGAGACAGACAGACAGATGAGGAACCATAGGCAGAGCTCTATGAAGGCAAAACAGAAAACTGCTGAGCAGCCTGGAGCAACGGGAGCAGCCGAGGCGGTCCCTAGCGAGCAGAAGCCCCCGTAGCTGAGTGCCACACGTGTCCTCACGTGTCCTCACGTGTCCTCACGTGTCCTCAGTCACACACCCACTCCTCACGTGTCCTCAGTCACACACCCACTCCTCACAGCTGCTGGCAGAACCTCGTTTCTTCTAATTCCTATAGCAGAAGGGGATTGTCAGCTCAAGTACCTGGTCCCCTGCCACTCAAATTGGAAACCTGGCCGAGCCCTAGCTGTTGCAATCATCTGCAGAGTGAACCGCTGAATGGAAGAGCTTGTTCCTCTGTATCTCTCCCTCTCTAACTTTTTCAAATAATAATTTTTAAAAAAAATCTTTTATAAGATGAAAATGACTTCCTGGCATTGTGCAGTAGATGACACGGCCACTCTCAGTATGGCATACCGTGTTGGAACACAGATTAGAGTCCCAGCGGCTCAGCTCCTGATCCAGCTTCTTGCTAATGCACCTTGGGGGGCAGCTATGATGGCCCAGTGTGTGTGTGTGTGTGTGTGTGTGTGTGTGTCTTGCTCCTGTCCCTCTGCCTTCCAAATGAATCAATAAGAGAGAAGTGGCTTTCAAATCCCCTCCACAGGAGGAGACTTCATTGTCGTCATAGGACAAGTGTGGGATTAGCTAGGTCAGGCTGCTTGCAACTTGTCCTGTTCTTTGTTTGTTGGCTGTCTCTTGGCACTTCCCAAGTGTTAAAAATTCAGCTCCCCGGAACATTCTTGAAGAATAGGCCCAAGAGAATAGGTATTTACAAATTGTTGTGAATTTTCTGCCATGTTCCTTTTTCCATAAATGCTATCTCATTGGCTACAATTATGAATTCCTTTTTCTTTTTAGGAAAGTCTTATTAGACAACGATATTTGAACTCTTTCTTTTCCATTGAAAACTCCTCTGCCTTCTATGGAATAAATCAATTTTCTTATCTGTATCCTGAAGAGTTTAAAGGTTAGTTCATGCATTGTTTACTTTTAAAATATTTGCTTAATTCTTGAGAACTTGTTTAATTCTAATTCTACTAAGTTGAATAATAATTAACATTTATTAACTGCTTGTTGTCAGGTAAGAACCCTGTGTTAACCAACCAAAGCATAGGTTCATAGTCACATCGTGTAAGTTATGACTGAAGAATTAAATGTTAAATTTATACACGTTTCCATGAGACTGTGTCAGTTTTTCCGGCACTTCTAGAGTCTTCTTGCGCTATTTTTATTCAAGTCACCCATGCTTCCATGAGCTGTGATAAAACAAATGATGCCACTTCTATCCATTTTTTTTTTATTATTATTGACCTGGTTCTGTCAAACAAGTTTTATGCACCAGCATCAGCCTTATTGTGGAAACTCATGTCTGTAGCTTTCAGTTGAATGCACTCCCTGTTGTAGAAACGCATGAGCAACAACGTGAAGCAATGGACCCACTGCTCAGTTATCCTGTCTGCATGAAGATTTCAACCTGAAAGGAATCCCACCGGCCCCTCCCTACGATATACTGACTGTCTTTTCATCTTATGTCTCTGCTCAGCCATTTATTTAAGAACCAGATCTTCCCGCTTCCCCAGATACCCAGTGGAAGTACAGATGTCTCTCCTAAATGTGTCCTTGCCGTTAAAATTCGACTGGAGGGATAAGCATGTTGTGACCCCAGTGAGAAACCAGCAGGCGGTAAGTTTTAGAAACTTTTTTTTTTTCTTTTTTCCTCATCTTTGCATGAGAAGACCCATTTTTGGTCAAACTCAATGCAACTCATTAGAGAACTCATCGTCTCTCTGGGTGAAACTGAAATTTACTCATCTTGTTGTGACAAGGAAAAGGGAAAGTTGGGAGGAATGAGAGGCAGCTGTGAATCCCAGAGTTCTGTTCTTGAGTAGAGAACTTCCTTGGTTTGTTCTGTCATGGCCACTGCCACATGCCAAACGGCTCAGGGATATTTCTTGAGAGCTGCCTCACAGCTTCTAGCCCCTCACGGAAAAAGTAAAATGGAACTGAATACTGTTGTCAACAATCTGGCCAGATCTGGGTATTCCAACCATGGTCAGCAAGCTCCATAGGAAACCCTTACTCCCGTAACTGCCGCTACAGGGTCAGCCACCTCTTAGCTGATGTTGTGTAAAAGAGGCCAGTTCAGCACACCACACCTGTATAGCTGTACAATACAGACATGATGGACAAACTAGCTTTGGATACAAGGTTTGCAAACAGTGACACATTTAAAAATTTGACAACAGAATAACTCCATTTTTGGTATGTGATTTAAATTTTTTAATACCTAAGTACTGCAATAAATATAGCACTTGGCTTTGACAAAACCCCAAGGCTGCTTATGGAAATGAGTGCCGGAACAACTCCAGCCTGGAGCAGGTGTTAGTACAGCGGTTCAGGTGCTGTGTACGACATGCATGTTCACAATCAGAGGGTCTGGATTGAAGTCCCAGCTTGGCGTTCAATTTCCAGACTCCTGCTAAAGCACTCTTGCAGAGGCAGTGGGAGATGACTGAACTCCATGGACCTTAGCCACCCATACAGGACATCCCGTGAGTTGTTCCCAACTCCTGTCTTTGGGCTTCCCAGTATCAGCTGTTTCAAACACTTGAGGAGTGAACACATGGGTAGGTATTCTCTTTGGGTGTGACTGCCTTTCAAATAAATAAAATAATGTTTTTTAAATAAAAGTAACCACCTTGTGTGATCATCATGGAGTGGTGTAGGGAAAGTTATCTGAACTTGAAGGACTTGATCTGTCATGCAAGTGGGATGCAGGTGCGTGCTTTGCAGCACCCCTCCACCACCTCGGCAATGGCAACTGAAATGTAACAAGCATCAAGCCTCTACCCACGGGGTGTTCATCTCAATTAGTGCCTTGTGGAAGTCCTCGACGGTCACTGCTCCTTCCTCGTCTACAAAGTTTTTTAGACCCAGCAGTTCCACAGTTGATGTCTACCTAGTTTAGGTAGTCCAGTCATTTTTATTTCTTAGATTCTATATTTATTGTGCATTTGGCTTTACCTCCAGATTGTGTTATTATTGGATTCTTAATAACACTTGAATTAGTCATAAATGCAGTCCTTCCAAGAATTGTCTACATTGTATTAAGATGGGAACATTTAGCTATATGTTTAATTAAGTATGTGGAGGGATAGTATCCGGTGGAAACTGCCCTCAGGGTGTGTATGCTTTCGGCAGCTTGTACTCTTATATTTTCAAATTTTGGATGCCCATCCTCAGAGTGATGTAGTATTTCACTGTGTCACAGGCATTGGGGGTATAGATGTCAGTAAGCCCACTGGTGGCCACAGAGTTGCCCAAAACATCACAAAGACATCTGGGAATTAACAACGCAGCACCTGATCCAGTCCAGTTTTGAGTCCTTTCCTCTCTGCCTTTTCTGTAGATTTCTTCTTCCTCCGGGTGATACCTCATTCCACTCCCTCCATCATTTCTTTCAGGATCAACACTTTAAAAAAAAAAAGTTCATAGATTCACAAGCTCAATGGTCAGAATTCGAGTAATATGGGTTTACACTTTTAGCGTATTCCAAAAACATCCAACATATACATGTCCAAGAGGTATGTTTGTGCCGGCATCATGACAACCTGAAAATGTTTCACTCAGCTCCCATTCTATGAAGTAATGAGTACGGCACACATCATCTTGTACTGCCTGCTGCCTATGCCCATCTGTTGGGTGGAGGTGTGTTTGGCCATCGAGGCAGATCGGGAGAAGGAAGAGAACTATAAGGATGGGGTGGGAAGGGATGCCCATCTCCAGTAGGGGCACAACTTGTAAGCTAAAGTCTCATATTCAATGAACTGCCTCATCTTTCAAAAATCATATTAGCTCAAACCTTTTCTAAAACGTTGTTTTGGAATGTCAGGAAGGTTGATGGAACCATCCTATTTCTGTTTCTGAGCAGTGTGGCGGATGCTGGGCCTTCAGCGTGGTGGGTGCGGTGGAGTCCGCGTGGGCCATCAAGGGCCAGCCTTTGGAGGACCTCAGCGTGCAGCAGGTTATCGACTGCTCATTCAACAATGACGGCTGCAGCGGAGGCTCCACCCTGAACGCTCTGATGTGGATGAACCAGGTGACGAAGCTCTCTTCATTTTGTGTGTCCCCTCTGCGGGACTCAGCTGTGTAGTCAGCATTCAGACTGCTTTATATATATGTGTAATATATACTCCCTCTATATACTATTGTATATTTATAATAGAATATATACAATATTTTATATGTATATATCCACTCTCTCTATGTATTACTGTTGTTGTTGCTCTGTCTCTCAGACAAATAAATAATGCTTCCATGCCAGGCCTAGCACCTAAAGTCCTCACCTTGCACACACCAGGATCATATATGGGTGCCAGATCTAATCCTGGGGCCCCATTTCTCATCCAGTTTCCTGCTTGTGACCTGGCAAAGCAGTCGAGGATGGCCCAAAGCCTTGGGACCCTTCACCTGTGTGGGAGACCCAGAAGAGGCTCCTGGCTCCTGGCTTTGGATCAGCGCAGCTCTGGCCTTTGAGGCTGCTTGGGGAGTGAATCAGCAGACAGAACATCTTCCTCTCTGTCTCTCCTACTGTCTGTATTTCTGACTTTCCAATAAAAACAAATAAATCTTTAAAAAAAAAAAAAAGCAGTCAAAAGGCAAAATCTTTCCCACATATCTTTTTCAGAAAATAAAGTTGTTTCTGATTTAGGCTTCGTTCAGAGAGAGAGCAAGCAGGAAAGAGCTCTTTCATGTGCTGGCTCACTCTATATGGTCTCAGCAGTTCAGACTGGTCCTGGCCAGAGCTGGGAGCTCCTTCCAGGCCTCCCATGTGGGTGACAGGGTCTAAGCACTTGGGTCATTTTGCCGTGCTTTTCTCAGAACATTGACAGAAAGCTGGATCCACAGTAGACACCCAGAGGCAGAAGCAGCGCGTTACAGGCGATGGCCTCACTCGCTACGCCACAACGCTGGCCCCTCTGTTTATGTGTTAACATTCATTGCAGGTAAATGTTCTTTTTACAAACAGTTTTCACAGAGTGCTGCAGAAAGGATGCGAGCACACGATATTCATTGTCCTAGAAGCCCTCATGGTCAAGGCTAAAAGGAATGGGAGGGATCAGCCAATATCCTGTTGCTGGATTAGTAGCTGTGTCCAAACTGTGCTGAAGTCCTTGTCCCCGCAACCCCGCAGGCCTATAGGGTACTGTTCTGTGTGCACAGAGCAACCACTGGCTACCTGAAACCAGCAGAAGACAGTCACCAGATCTAGCTCCCCAAACTAAGATGTCCTTCCAGTCTTCATGTGTTATGTTTTAAATCCCAGCAACTGCTCTTATTCGTTGTGTATAGCCATGGAACAGGAGTCTCTCCATTCCATAATGACAATGTTTCAGAAGTGGAAGTGGACAAGGTAGGAGAGGCTAGTGTGAGATATGTGATACGTGCCAGATGAAGGAAATCCTCAGACGTGGGCAGAAAATAAAAATGTGCAACCTGGGCATTGTCTGAGCACAGACCAAGGTAGTGAGTCTGGAGGACCCGGACAAACGCGAGGCCAGAAACTGTGCAAGGAAGAGTGTCACCCTATTGTACTCTCAGGGGAAAGACGACTAGTTGCTTTCCCATTCTGGTCAAGGTTATAGGGAGGAAAGCTATGAGAAAAACTGGCACTAAAGAGAGAGAGAGAAAGTATTGATTCAAATTATTGAGAATGTTTGTGAGTGGATGTTGTGGTGCAGTAGACCAAGTCTCCATCTGGGGCGTCACAGCTTCTATCAGAGTGCCTGGTTCAATTCTGCACTGCTCCGGTGCTGTGCAGTTTCCTGCTAATATGTAGGCTGAAAGATGGGGGGGATGTCTCTGGTGTTTGAGCCTCTGCCATTGAGTCTCTGCCCTCTGCTGTGGCCTGGCCTGGACTCCACTATGGGAGGCATTTGGTCAACGAATCAGGGCATTCTCAACATCTCTCCTGTCCTCTCTCTTTGTCTCCCTTTCATATAACTAAACATGCATAAGCAAACTTTGTTTCTTTAAAAATAGTTACCTAAAAATTAAGAGTCGAAAGGACGTGTAGTGTAGCCACGTGATGAAGGTATTGCATAGTTGATGCTATTGTGAAATTCTTTCTGGTTTTTAAAACAATTGTCGGCGAACCTTTTGGGAAACTGTTTTGCTTCAGACACGAGTGAAACTGGTGAATGATTCGGACTACCCCTTCAAAGCGCGGAGTGGCCTTTGCCGTTACTTCTTGTCCTCACGTCCTGGGTTTTCCATCAAAAACTTTGCTGCATTTGACTACAGGTAAATGTTACTGTACCCTTTTTCTCCACACAAAGCCTGAACTTTATGATATTCGCTACAATATCACAAAATCTGCTGAACTGAACTATGGCCTAGGGAGTCGTTTGAGCTGCCAACCGTCATGCAGTGGTATAGATGTTCTTTCTTACATATGGTCTCTCTAAGTAAAACCAATGAATTCACTTTGTTACACGTTGTCTTCTTACTAGATATTAGCATTAACATTGGCTCTTCAGCCTTTGCGTTGAGCTAATCCACAATTACTTTGTGTAAACTCTGCAGCCAGTTTCAAGCAGGCTGTATCCCCAAAGCCTTTTGTGAACAGTCATCTTTTATTGTGTAACATCCCTAAGCATGGATGATGTAACCCACACTTTATATATGACCAAAAGAGCAGGGCTGGACAAGTGGCTGAGAGACAGCACCTGTTAGAAATTGATGCTCAGGGTAACTTCGGGTAAGTTTACTGAAAGACAGTCAGTGAGAGGAAGAGAAAGGGGAACACGGAAGGGGATGTCCCTAAGCCTATGGAACTGTATCAGGAACAACAAAAATTAAAAGAAAAAAAAAAAAGGAAAATACAAGTCTTGATAAAGAATTTCTATGATCATTGATGTAGTGAAAAATAGGCATTTGAGGTGATAAAGACAAAACTCTAGAAACTTCCGATTTCATTATTTTAAAAATATGGTAAGTCTTTAAAATTACAATAAAAATTTGTCTAAAAGTACCATAGAGGAACTGAATTGAATTCAGGTAAGGTAACAGCATGCCCTCTGACTTACTGATACTGAATATAAAAGAATCTCTTGATCTATATGGTGTCTGCGCATTTGATCAGAAGGAAACCAAGGGTGAAATTGGATCCTTGAACAGAATGTGACCTCTTTATGGAAGAATGAGTGTGGCAGAGGACTGGCAGGCTGCCCAGCTCCCGTCTGTACAGAGAGGGCTCTGCCACAGCCCTTGGAACCACACCAGGAAGCCTTTATGCCACAGCTGGCGGGCTAGATGGGCTATGTTTAATGAAATGTCTGGGTCACTCCGTATAATGGTCAGCATCTCCTCTGAGGGGGAACAGAGCATGCTATCTGAATGAAGAGAGGGGTGTGGCATGTAAACCGTCACTTACCTGAGATTCCCCGAACGGGTGTGCTCTAAGGAGACTAGAGTGGCTTCTGTTTTTCAAAGAAACATCTCTGATTTCACTTTGCATGAACTGGCTAGCTTTTCTTTCTTTCTTTCTTTCTTTCTTTCTTTCTTTCTTTCTTTCTTTCTTTCTTTCTTTCTTTGAGAAGCACAGAGGAGAGAGAGAGAGAGAGAGAGAACAGTTAGATATCTTTTATCATATTCCCTCCCTTGTAATCTCCAAGGTCGACATTTACTCCCATACATTGGCTAGTGCCCTGATTATTACAGGGTGTGGCAAAGGTGGCAAGGGGTCGTCAAATACCCAGTATCCTTATTAAAAGACTATTTTAGCTGGGTATCAATATTAACCTGCTACAAAGCTCCATTCCCCGCCTCCATTTCAGCCAGACTTACCTACGTGCCAGGGTGCCACCAAGTGTATTCGACCCTGAAGACATGTTAAGCGTTAATACTGGCACATTTTCTCAACAGAGATGTAGCTGTTTTTTTATTTTCTCTTTCTATAACCTGAAATATGTGTTAAATGGCTGGAGTTGTAGCAGCCATCATGGACCATTAAACAATCTTGAGGATGGAAGCTTTCTACAACGCAACATTAACTTACAGAGTCTGTGCTTATCCTAGAGAAGTATACACATCCTGAGTCACCAGTTCTCCGTACATTTTTGACCTTCGTCATCGAAGTCCTTTGTCATTGTAAACATGCTCCCACATGTGATTAAATAGACCGTTCATATCCTCTCTTAAAAACTGAAAGTCCGTAAGCAAACATCTGCTCCTTTGGCAGCGACAAAGAAGATGAAATGGCAAAAATGCTGGTTACCTTTGGCCCTCTGGTGGCGATCGTCGACGCGGTGAGCTGGCAGGATTACATGGGAGGCATCATACAGCACCACTGCTCAAGAGGAGAAGCCAACCACGCTGTGGTCATAACCGGCTTTGACAAAACAGGTACTGGGATGCACCTGGTGGCTGGTTACCCTGGAGCTCTGCCAAATGGTCACTATTCTGTAGAACGTTCAAGTGTGGTCTGCTCTGTGTGCTGAGCTTTGCTACATCTCTACAGCTCCCCTCCTGGGTGTAAACGCGCCATCAGGTTCTGGAATTGTTTGGTAAATACCTGGTTAAAACTAGTCTTGCTTATTTAAATAATGTGCATTCTCTGATCTATTTAAAACTCATGGTTTGGAAAATACGTGTACTTTATTATATTGTGTTATTTAGATTTCTTCTTTATTTTCCTAATCCCCCCAAAAGTTGGTTTTGTTTTTATTTTACATAGTTCCATAATGTAGATTCATATCAAATACATACTTCAACCAATCGAATAATTATGCTAAGTACAGATCAGCTTTACTTAGCTAATTTAAGTTAGCGTCATATTAGAATTACAATCTTATTCTCAGCGGAATTTATGAAAAAAACCCAGTTTAAATAAACATGCATTCGTGACAAATATGAGATTTTCAGGGTTTGTTGCCATTCTTTGTTTTGTAGGGACTATACCTTATTGGATCGTGCGCAACTCCTGGGGCAGTTCCTGGGGAGTGGACGGTTATGCCCATGTTAAAATGGGGAGTAATATTTGCGGTGAGTCGTGAATTTGCATTTAAAGCTCTAGGTTAAACATCAAGGTAGGTTCTTTAAATATGTGAACATGACAGACCTGTCTAATGAAATTCCACACGTGTGCTAAAATCACTTTGGCAGTAATAATTATCATTCTTCAACTTTAATTGACACCTGTGCCACATGGCAGAGCATCAGTTTAAGGCTCAATTCAAGACCCGTGCCCTCTGCTCTTGATTCCTGCAAGGCAGCCCACGATAGAGCACATACTAGGGGCTTTGTCACTCACATGGGACACCCAGATGGAGTTCCCACACTCCTGGTTTTTTGGGAGAGAGAATTATAGGGGAGCCAGCAATTTACTTATCTTATTTATTTGAAAGATAAAAATGGCCCTCAGATTCTGTGTATAACTTCAACTGAGGTCTTCTACCCAAGGAACTGCCTGGTTAAGACTTACAGAAGGATCTAAATGGTTCCCAAAAGTATTTTCTAAAACGTTGTGGACATTAGTGATATTTGAGTGAGTTTTCTGAAGAATGAAATAATGCAGAGTATATTCCATCAGCCCAAGGGATGTCACGTGTTCGTCTTGTTACAGCGAGGTCCCGCGTGCAGATAAACCAAGTCTTCCCTGTGATGTCAAGTTCTATCCTCATGTAGGAAACATTGCATAGCTGTGATTTTTTTGAAATTCTGTTCCAGTTTAAGTCTTCAAATAATACTTACGTTCTTGTAGCTATTATATATAATACTTATATATACAATATGATTTTAGATGCATTTAATAATTCAGCAAACAACTTTTTGGTCAATTGTGTTTGTTTTCCACATGAAGCAAAAAGTTGGAAAGTTCGTAGGCATCTCTTCTTGAGGTTGTCATGTTTATTACACTGATGTTGGTCATGAATAAGTCACGTTCCCTTATAAGACACCAAGTCCTTCTGATACCAAATGAAATTTTCTATCTTTTTTTTTTTCTTTCTGTAATGGGTACTCAAAAGTCACTGGGAGTAAAAAAGAGATTCATCATGATAACTTCTTCCCCTTCGCCTTTAGGTATTGCAGATACTGTTTCTACTATATTTGTGTGACATGTTGGGCAGATCAAGAGACAACTACAAAGATGAAGATCTTCACAATGCAATGTAAGCTGGTGCTTTAAACATTAGACAACTCCAGGCTGCAGCAACGCTCCACAGATGACTCTGGTGCCCAGAAGTATTTAAACTCAGTTGTAAAGATTTGGACAAGCAAAGTCTGTAAGCACAAGCCCCGTCGATGGCCCTCAAGGAAACCCCTGGGGAAGCTTCCTACCATGAAAGGAAGGGCAGATTCGGAGTTCCGAGGGAACCACATAATTATCTAACATGAAATTTTACTTTTTCTTCTTTTTTAATTCATGCAAACAAAGCATCTGCATATCATTCCTCAACATACAGAAACTAGGCATGGAGATCAATTTTCTGTGCGTCAAAATGAACATGCCTCTTATTTCTATTTTTCCATGAATATTTGGAAGTACCTTGTATTTAGGCCTAGCCAATTTGAAAAGGCTATTCTTTTCTTATATATTTTTTATGTTTATCTTCAGTGAGGTTTTTTTTTTTTACCCCCCTGGGGTTGTGTGTTAATGGTATTTGTCTTACCTTTATCCCTAATCAAAAAAATCACCATCCTAAAAGTATGGGTGCTTCTTGCAACTGGGTTAACAGCCTTCTGAGACAAAATGCCTTAAGGATTTCATGCAGTGTTTGGTTTACCTCAACAAATGGTGCTGTCCCCTGAGTAGCAGACTGATCACGTGGAAGCAGAGACTAAGTCCCTTCTGGTGAAAAAGAATTCAACTAAGTGACCAGTGTGACACCTGTGTGATAAGAAAACCCAAGTACTTTTGCCTAAGAGACAGGTTGCCATTCTGTGATTTTCACTGTCACCAGGAATAGCAATGGCTTTCATTGCTTAGATCTTTCTCCTTGTCCTAGGCAACAAAATATTTCGACATGCGTCCCCATTCTTTTCTCACTTTTTGCTGCTTAACTCCCACACTTTCCTGTGACGTGGCTCTCCTGACCAAAGAATTGTCTTTGTTCCTCACTTGTCCTCTTCATTTAGTAATCTCTAAGCATTTCATGACATCACCCTCTCAGTTATTCCTTCCATGATTCTGGGCATGACTCCTCTCCACATCCACACTGCTAACCTGAGCCATCAGCTGGAAGGAGAGCTTCCCAGACTCTGTGTTCCAAGGTTTGGCTTTGTTTTCCTGCTCTCTCAATCCCAATTATTTGTACTTCCCTTTGCCTCTCACGTGGCTTCCAGTCTTTGACGTCCGTGATCTCTCGTGTCATTCATTGTGTAAGATGAACTTGGCATTCTCAGGAGTGACCTATATCCTGTGACTGCTCTTGACCTGCACATGGGAAGCAAATAACTGCCCAGACTTCCGAGAGACGGAACAAGCTGGTCTTCCGATCGGATACAAGCACAGCCATATTAAATGCATGTTTGTAAGAAAATCATGTCGAAGACTAAAAATATATTCTGTTTGTTTTTTCCCTAAAATTCATGGTATTCTTAAATGCAGCAACAATCAGTTAAAAAAAAAAGCCAGAGGCAGACACTGCCCATTTTCCCTCTCTGTATTCACGCATCTGTCTCCTATGTCAGATAAACAAAGTCAACATTCCAAAAGCAATATTAACAGACTGTATGCATCTATGTTGATGCAAGTTTAGAGATCTTCCAGAAAGGCAAATATTACCATTTTCATCGATAAATGTTTTCACTATGGAAGAATACCAGAAAAGGTTAATGTCCTGGTTCCTCCTGTTTGTATTCAGACTGTTGGTTTAATATAAATGCTTTTCTAATATTCTGTATGACATGTTTAAAGTTTTTAAAATTTCAAAATTAATATTTCAGCTATTCTGGAATTTGATATTTATAATAAAACAACCTACATTTAATAAAAGAGTATACATTATCCAGTGTAAGGGCTCTGTCTTGTCAGCACTGTGTGAAATTTTGGTCTACGCAGGATTTTCCCAGCAACAGTCTAATATTCAGTTTTAGTTAAGATACACATTCTTTTTTTTTTTTCCTATCTTTTAGTAAGAGCAAAACATACATCAACTTTTTCTCTTTCTTAGTATATTTTGTCTCCACTATTCAGTAGTCTACTGTCAACATAAAATAATAAACGAAGAACCCACACAAGTACAGGCAACTAATATTCAAAAGGAGAACTGCTGCTTCAAAACAATGTTGTTGGGAAAATTGGATAGCAGCCTGCAAAAGTAAGAAGTAAGACCCTCGACTATCACCTTATGCAACCATCAGGTCTAAATGGATCAAGAACCCCAAACTGCACTCAGAAACCATCAGACAAAAAAAAAAAAAAAGTAAGGAAGCATTTGCCAAGATATAAGCTTCGATAAAGACTTCTTAGGAAAGTCACTCAAAGCACAGGCAGTCAATGTCCACATAAAGAGATGGGACTACACCCAACGAAGGAAACCAAGAATGGAAATGATCAAAAAGAAGCAACAAATAGTAAGCAAGAAAGTATCTGCACACTACACAGCTGATAAGGGAGTGATATCCAGGATTTACAGAGACTGGTCTACATTTAGAACTCTAGGAAGAGTACCTGCTGGTGTGTGTGTGTGGGGGGGGGAAGGTACCGCCCTTCACTCTTGGTGGAGTGCAGTCTAATGCAGTCACTGTAGAAGGCAGTATGGACAGTGCTAAGGGAACTGAAAATTGACCTGTCCTATGACCCAGCTACCCTACAGCTGAGAATACATCCAAAGCATATGAAATCAGCATATGAAAAAGGGACCTGTAAACTTATATTTATAGCAGCATAATCTACAATAGCAAAGATACGGAAACAGATGCCCATTAAACAGGAGTGGATAAAACAACAGTGGTACATCTACTCCACGCACGACTCCTCAATCATGAAAAAGAATGAAATTCTGTTATTTACAACCAAGTGGTCCCAACTAGAGACCATTTACGCTCAGTAAAACCAGTCAGTCCCAAAAGGACAATGTCATATACTCTCTCTGATATAATGCAACTTTCATGTAAAATATAAGATCGAAAGACATATAGGTAAATGTGTATATTTATATGTATGTGTGTGTGCATTCATCTAGAGGAGCTACATAAGGGAGACTATCATACCAAGAAGGAAGATAAAGTGTAGTATGCATTTGCACTCCTGAATAAAAGATAGATGCCCAACGAAACTCTCAAATATATCTTGACAATAGGATGCTGGAGTTCCTACTATCGGCTAGACCTACAGTGTCATGATAAGCGGCAGAATGATGGATTTGTGACAGTTGCGGCATTTTAAAAACCATAAAGAGTAAAAGAATAGCATTTGTTTTAAAAAAATATTTGGATACATTTTTGCACAGAATGGCATTTTATTGTACACAATATCTGTAATTGTTGGGTGACTTTTTAAGTTTACGAACTATAAGCAATGAGGTGATGATCACATGAAGTGGTCACTTAAAGTTAAATTTGGGAAATTGAATTTTTAATAGGAGAATATCCTATATACAAGGTTATCATTGAATGGATTTACATCTTAACTCTTCTATCATCACGTAACATAATAAACTTATTTCCCAAACTGAACCAGAATAGCATGATGCAAAACTACATATACACATCATTATAAAAGATCATTAATAAAAAATAAAATCATAGACTGGAAAAATCAATAGTCCTTGGAGGTTTTGCAGGTGGATTTAATCTGACTCATCACTGCTGAAGTAGGAGCTGTCACAGTATTCAGCCGTATAAAGGAATCTGTGAATGATTGGATTCATCTTCGGTATCCAGGGCCGAGGAACCAGATACGTTGAAAGATTAAATAAATCTACAAACACCTTGTACCTGTCACTGGAAAAACACAATGCTTTCATTGATTGACATGAAGTATTCATGAATTTTTTATCCCCAAAATTATTTGTTATATATTTCCCATGGTTAGTATTTTATATTAAACATCATAAATAAATCAGATACACATTGCATTTATATACTATTAGTATTGTAGCTGTTCAGTTGTTATATTCAAAGAGCATGGCCATAAACAGTATCATGTGTTTGGTTGGTATAGCCCAGGGTAGCCCAGGCTACAACACAACATCTTAATGTCACATCATCTTCATAAAGACAGGGAAAGTACATTCATAGATGGAAGTACCATTTTACAACCAATGTCTGCTCAGAGTGGCTGTGACATTAAAATCGTGCTTTTGCTTATTAGGCAACTACTTTAATCATCAGTTTTATGAAGGAAGTTGCTTTCAATTAAATATACCTACATTAATATCCTGGCTCTCTCACCTATACTTTGTAGGACCTTAAACAAGTTGTTTAAAGTTCAGTGCTCTGATTTCTATAAACTAAAAGCCACACTTCTCTTCCTCTGGTCAGGCTTTTTATAAAAGGTAAAATAGAATGAGACACTAGACATGCCGATTCTGTTCATGGGTGTCCCCACCCTCTTATGTAGCTGCTGGTTTTGTATCAATGACTATCTCATGCTTACAGAACGCATTCCCAGGAAAAGTGAAGAATGGATAAAATGATGAAAATCTCAATTGACAAATGTGCGTTTTATAAATCAACCATTTTTGGTAATTAGAGTAGAAATGAACACAATGTGTTATAAATTAGGTGGGGAATTAAATGTGAATATCTAATTTGCTTTTTAGCTGGTTCTTCTTTGCCAATTACCACATCTGTCAATTCATCTTTCCATTACCAGTCATCCATCAGCCATGTCACCTAGCTATTCATCTCCATCCATTCATCCATCACTTTGTGAAAATTAAATAAGAATATATATGCCCTAAAAATCACTTTAGCATGTATTAGAGCTTCAATAATTGTCAGCAACCTTTCTAGAAAATGCGCTAAAAATGATACTCTCTGGAGCATTTACAAGTGTATTCATAAAATAAGGTCACATTAGGAGACCGGAAACTGTTTTACCTACACCATTCTTTCAGCCAAAAGCTCAATCGTGGAATTTATGGTATAAGTTTTAGTTCGGACAAACCTTGAACCCAAAGAGTTTGAAGACATTTTTGCCTGGGCAGGACAGGAATCACTAATCCCTTTATATTGTCATCAGTCATGCACGCCTGACGTCATCTTACGGTAGAAATGACAACGTTCAATAACTAAGGATTTGTTTCAGAATTCATTCCAAAGGACACAATAAGAATGGGTACTTTAGGAGCCCAGCACGTTGGCTTCACTGGCTAATCCTCACCTTCGAGCATCGGCATCCCATTTGGGCACCACTTCATGTCTTGGCTGTTCTGTTTCCCATCCAGCTGCCTGCTTGTGGCCTGGGGACCCTGCACACGCATGGGAGACCTGGCTCCTGGCTTTGGATTGGCTCAGCTCAGGCCACTGAGGCCATTTGAGAAGTGACCAAGAGAATGAAAGATCTTGGTCACTCCTTATTTCTCTATGGATCTGCCTTTCCAAGAAAAATAAATGAAGCTTAAAAAGAAAAAGAAAATGGATTCTTTCTTAACTAACTCCCCATCGGCTAACTCCCAATGTATTGTAAGCAGTTCAGACAGGAACAAGAAACAGTGTCGACTCGGAGAAAACGCATCCCTCTATGGAGGAACAATGGTGACCTCCCCCCGGATGATGAGGACAACGCCTCCTCTTACCTCACGGTGGAGCGCAGGTACTGATAACCTGAGGACCCTCCGGTGCCAGCCTTACTGCCCAGCATCCTGTGCACCATGCACACGTGGTTGTCTAGGGGAACAAACACAGTGTCTCTTGGATGCTTTTCTGCCATTAAGGAAAGGTTTATCACACAGTCATATGGAGGTTCATGTCTGAGAGCCAGGTGAGCCTGTTGGGTTGCCTGGCACCCCATGTAGTTGAGGTCACATTTTACTACGTCCGTTATTCTAGTTAGCCTTTGCTCACCACGGCAGGAGAGAGCCCGCCCGGGACTCCCAGGAATCCTTGCTAGGTTTGCTCATAGGAGTCACTTCCTCTTTTGTCAACAGTGGTAATTACTACAATAACAATTTCAAACTGCACTGGCAAATATATATATATATATATACATAGTTCTATATTAAAACATTTTCTTTGATCTGAAGCTTTTTTCCCCTTCTGATCATCAAATGTAAACAATACCGTGAAAGTATTTACTGGGCGAGGGAGCACCATGGAAGGAGGGGCACAGGGGATGGGAGCGCACTTACACCTCCATTTGGTCATGAGTGTGTCTATGTCCATGAGAGAGGTCAGGAGCTGAAAGGGGACCTGGAACCTGGGCTCCTCCCTACCGGAAAGCAAATCCAGTGTGTTAGTGACCACAGCAGCAATCAACGGACCCCAGCAACCAACGTCACCTTTGCCACTCGGGAGCCATGGTCATTTCCAAGGACACTTGGTCTCTTTCTGCATCTCAAAATGCAAACACTACTACTCATCACATGGTGTTTATTTGATGTCCAGAAAATTCTACAAATCTATGTGAAGGAAGAGGCCGGTTATGCTGGAAGATTCTTACTGAAAGGAGTCTTCTAACACATTAACACAAGTCAATCAGTTTGAGCTAACGCAATCAAAACAGAGACAAAGACTACTTTTAGTTCTTCCAATACATAAAAATACGTTGAAATTCTCATAAAAATTAAATTGAGGTATAAGTGACTGGTATAAAAAATTAGAAATCTGTGGAATTTTTTTTCACAATATGTATTCTTTTCTTGAATGTTTTAAAAAGCTATTGAATACCTGTATCTCAAAATCTATTTGTCCTGAAAGCGTTATATTTGTCTCCTTTATTTCTTTCCTTAAGACAACTGTCTAAGTACATTTTATACTAAGGACGTAGAAGCTTGAATCATATGCGTTCATTCTGAGTTCAGGAAAATGGGAAACGTTTTTTTGAGTGTGGACGTAACTTTGACTTCAACATCCTCCTGAAGGAATAACTAGCTGATTTTTTTTTCCAAAATCAAAGTATTGTGTGAAGGGATGATTGCAACTGGCAAGCTTTAATCCTCACAAAACACCTGTAACATATCACGTTCTCAACTTTAATTCTCTCCTCTCTTCCGGTACGTTCTTACCTGTAAAAATATATCATCAACGCTCCCTGTAACGCTCTATAAGACAATCGCCTTTCACCTGCAAAAACCAGGGTGAGTTTCACTGTGGTATAGACGAAGGGCAGTCGGGTTAATGTTGCATCAATGTCCTGAACAAATTAAGCAGTTCACATTTTTCGTAAACCTTGCAAGTTTAATTTTTTTGTTTGTTTATTTTTTAACTTGAATTTAGGAAGCTATCAGCTGGGAGATTTTTTTCTTTGAAGAGTGAATTTTAAGAAGCAACTAGAAAAACCCCCAAGAAAAGTCTTTGTTAAAATTCTTAAGTGTCATGTTAATATCTGATATTAAAAAAAATTCAGACTTCCATGATAATTATAAAATATACTTTCCAGAGCCCAGCGCAGTAGCCTAGTGGCTAAAGTTCTCGCTTTGAACATGCCAGGATCCCATATGGGTGCTGGTTCTAACCCCAGCCGCCCGGCTTTCCCATCCAGCTTCCTGCTTGTGGTCTGGGAAAGCAGTCAAGGATGGCCCAAAGCCTTGGGACCCTGCACCTACGTGGGAGACCCGGAAGAGGCTCTAGGCTCCTGACTTGGAATTGGCTCAGCTCCAGCCATTGCAGCCTCTTGGGGAGTGAATTAGCACATGGAAGATCTTCCGCTCTGTCTCTCCTCTTCTTTGTATATTGACTTCCCAATAAAAATAAAAAATAAAAAGCAACCTTTAAAAAATACATAATTTTCAAGGAAAATAGTGTGATCATTTAGTTTTCAAAAACTTAAACATGATCCATTACAATGTAAGTTTCAAACTGCCTTTTCCTAATTCACTTAGAGCAAATTTATTTGGCTTTAAGAAAGATGATGCTTAAATAAAAGTCTGTGCTCTCCAACGAGAGTCTTCGCTCCAAATTTCTGGAAATTGGGATTTGCCATCACTGACAGTTGTTTTCTAGAAAACTGAGATACAACCTTTAAGTTTATAGAATGAATACAAATTTCCTGTATTGGTATGCTCCATACTTAAAGATTAATTTTTGCTTCTAGTCTACACATATCCAAAGATATTGCATTATTATTGTCCTATAGAATGTATAAATCAAAATGATAGTACAGTTTCAAACAGATAAAAAAAATAAACTAGACTTCAGCTCTGAATGTACAGGTCATACTGGTCGGTTACTGCGCAAATAATTGTAGTAACAAACTAGAGTTGTGTTTTTCTTGCTCGGCATGAGAAACACTCGTTGTACAAAGAGATCCTTGCTCTCCCAGGAGCTGCGTCTTTCTTCTGTTACCACCACCACAGTCAGTACAAGAGCTAGCCTTCATTTCTGGCCCTGAAAGACATCATTCTCAATGACCCTTGGTATCCTTCAGGTCTCGAGTCCTAGTAACATTTCGGCTGTGCATTTAAAATCAATTGGAAATGAAAATCTGGTAAAGTAAATCTTGATAGTCCTATCAAATTGTATTAATTGTTAATAAATTGTGTTAATAACAATATTTACCTTTACCAAGGAGATATTCATGGCGCTTCTCATCAAACAGGGACAGTAACACCTCTTTTTGTTTCTGAAATTCAGCCAGCACATCCTCTTTTTCCTCTGACTCTTCCAAGGCCTTCAGTCAAAAACAAAACAAAAAACAAACAGAAAACTTGGTTTATTATTCTCAAGAGACAAAGCAGATTTCTCTACTTTACAAAACTTGTTTGATGACAAATATACCCTCTGGTTGCAGTGACATTGCCCTTGGCAGGTCTTCCATAGTGTCAACTATCACACATTGGAAATTATGCACCAAAAGGAATCTTATTGATCATGTATATAATCTGAAATCTAAATCTCTAAATTAGAGACGAACTGTTGAGAATGACGGATAAATAAATAGATATCGGAGTAACGGACATCAATGAGAACATAAAGATCATCCTATGCAAAAGTATAGAGATAGATCAGAAAGAATCAAAGTTAGCACATGGCATAATGCCACCACTCACAGTAGGTAAAGGAGAAAATGGACCCAGAATTAGACAATTGGATGCAGACATTATGGTGTGTAGTGTACCAAATCCAGAGGAAGAGAATGTTCAAGACATTAGGTAGTACTTAATACTGAATGCTGCTGGAAGAGCCAGTTAAAATTGAAAATGACTTTTGCATCTTTATGCACGTGGCCCATTGATTCATCTAACTGAAGGCTGATAACGTACATATTTTCTATGATACCGATGATAAAATTGAGGCCAAGAGAGATTAAGTAACGTGTTTACTATAACACAGCTCAGAGCACAGATGGAATTTGAACCCACGCAATGTGACTTCAATGATCTGATGTAAACCTTTAAGAGGAAGAACTGTAGTAATTTTTTTGAGTTTAGTCATGATGATAGGATGAAGGTCATGGAACTTAATGAGAAATGAAGAGTATTTTTTGAGCAGTAAAAGAACTGCACACGGTGTGAGAACTGCCAAACAGACCCAGGAAATCTGCGACTGGGAGGAAAGATTCAGCTGATTCTTTCCTTGTTATATTTAAATTCGACAGAAGAGAAATTTCCACTAGAACCGAAAAAAATGTCTTTTTATCTGGAAATTTGTCAGAAACATCTTGCCTGCCACGAATATTTGGAACTTGTGAAACTTTAATTGCACACAGGAGAACTAAATCAACCAACGATATATTCCAAGAAAGAGTATTTGTGAAATAAAATTAAAATAATGAAAGGCTAGGAGAACAACAAAAAATCACCAAAACAAAATTCCAATTACTTCTTCTGTTGTAAAGGTTCACATGCTCATATCTTTATAAATACCTGCAGCTTTATGAATTCTTCATCCAGCCCTTTGACAATATTTTTTTCAAGCTTTCCCCAGAAATCAAATCCATGTGGTTCTAGACCTGGTGTCCTTTCCAGCCATGCCTTAAACGAATAAATATAATTTTTAAGTGAGTACATGCAAATGTAAATGAAGTAAAATATGTTGTCAACAACACATACTCTAAATAAGCAACCTGCAGCTGTGAGAAGCATACATCACAACTTTGTCATTTCCTTCTTTTTAGTGTCGTCATTGAAATAACTGACCATTTCATTTTCTTGATCTCTGAGACAACTCTTACTAACGTTTGTTCTTAGTTTCTTAAGAAATACATGATTACAAAAACCTCCATTTGCTTCTGAAAATCAAATAACTTTAACATGTATAACGTCTTCTGCTTTATTCTAAAAAAAAAAAAACATTTTATGTTTAGCAGTTGAAATGTATAAAATGTGATATCTCTTCTAAATTCAGAGGCATGATATATTTAAGAAATGATGTGTTTATTTGAAAGGCAGAGGTAGAGAAAGCCAAAGGCAAAGAGAGATCTCTTCCATTCACTAGCTCACTCTCCAAGTGGCTGCTAGGCCTGCGTTGTGGCAGGAGCCTCAGTTCAGGTCTTCCATGTGGGTGCAGGTCTCCTAGCACGTGGGCAATCTACCATTGGTTTTTTAGACACATTAGTGTGGAGCTAGGTAAGAAGAGGAGCAGCTGGAACTCAAACTGGCACCATGTCTGGGCATTACCATGCGTGCCACAGCAGCCGGTCCTGTTTAGTAACTTCATAATGAAATAGCCATGCAGTTAGTTGCATGAAGATTTCACAATACATTGGAATCTAAAGATGAGACTGCATTCCTACAGCTTTGTGGCTTTTTATTGATTCAATACTAGCTCTGCGATTACTTTTCTCCATATTTTTATACAGCATTTGTGACGCTGTATAAATCAAGAGAACCTAAAAGCTTACTGACAGCACCCCAGGAATTCATGGGAAGGACATAATTCACAAAGAGGTAAGTTTAATAAGAAAAGGGAAAGGTTGTTTAAGTATGTCAGGATAATATGCTTTTTTAATCTAATTATTTCTTAATAGTGAACATTAATGATTCTGTGAGACTATGAGGTTCCAGGACATCAGGATATTGAGAAACAATTTCTGAGAAGTGTATTCTTGGCACATTAGTTTAAGAAAAACACTATCGTGGTCTATGTAGCATATAAAGCTGCTGTCTGCATGGCTGGCATCCCACATGCGCGGCAGTTGGAGTCACATTAATCTAAGAACTGATGTAACGATTACATATTATTGTTATTATTATTATGCAAGCCAGCATTGTGGCCCAGTGGGTTGGGCCACCGCCTGCAGCACTGGCATTTGATAAGCACACCAGTGTGAGTCCTGCCTTTACTTCCTGTTCAGCTCCCTGCTAATGGGCCTGGAAAAGCAGCGAAAAAATGATCCAAGTTGTCGAGTTGCTGCACCTGTGTGGCAACCAGGATGAAACTTCTGGCTCCTGGCTTTTGCTTGGTACAGCCTGGGTCATTGGGAGTAAACCGATGAATAAAAGCTTCTCCCCATTCTCTCCCTTTTACTTTGCCTTTCAAATAAATAAGTATTTTAAAATAAAGTAAAATTCTGGTTTAGCACAAGCTAACTTAGAGGCATTGCATTAGACTGAAGGAAAATGGAAGCACACACCTCGACAAGTTGCAGAAGTGTCTTGCCCTGCTCAGATTGAAGTAGCAGCTCGTTGTCTTCCCCTTTGAAGTTATCCCGATAATGTCTTCTGTTGTAAGGGACTCTCAAGTTCTGAAGAACACCGATCTTGTTCTCCAGGAGTCGGAACTGCAAACTCTGGAATCCTGATGCTGGAGATAAATACTCCCTGGGAAGGGAAGGGAAGGGAAGGGAAGGGAAGGGAAGGGAAGGGAAGGGAAGGGAAGGGAAGGGAAGGGAAGGGAAGGGAAGGGAAGGGAAGGAAGGAAGGGAAGGGAAGGAAGGGAAGGAAGGGAAGGGAAGGGAAGGAAGGGAAGGGAAGGGAAGGGAAGGGAAGGGAAGGGAAGGGGAGGGAAGGGAAGGGAAGGGAAGGGAAGGGAAGGGAAGGGAAGGGAAGGGAAGGGAAGGGAAGGGAAGGGAAGGGAAGGGAAGGGAAGGGAAGGGAAGGGAAGGGAATAGTACATGGATAGACATTGTAAATCGCTGTGATGGTTTCTTCTGTTTTAGGAAATTATCAGTACTACCTTCCTAGATATCACCAAGAAAACACACACACAACTGCCTAGAGCTGGACCTTTGGCTTGGCCTTTCTTAAAATAAGGAAAATGAGCTACTTAGACATTATGTTTCCGTCAATAAGAAGTTAGAAACTTCGTATTAGTTGTAAAATGTCATACATATTACAGCATATATTATATATATTTTAATATAAATATGTATAATAATGCTTAGGTGTTAGATAAAATTTCCATGCATGTAATGGAATAACAGCATACACATATGTATATATAGATACATACATATAGTTGTTTATGAATATATTTTTGTACTAAATATTTTCCTTTAAAGACATTTGGATACTGGGAAATTATCCATCCCATGTTGCTAAGAATTTTTTTATAAATATTATTAACTCCCCCATAAGTTACAATATTGGATATTATCATAATCTTGCTATCTCAAATCATTATTAGCATCAATGAAATAAGGACATGAATGGAATTTTGCCAAGCATGACATGAGTAGTCCAAAGATATAACTACTTCCACCCTCCAAATCACTGTACTTTTGGCTAAAGTTGTAATTTCTAATTAAATTGCAAGGATTCTTTTAAAATCATTTTTGCGAAGTTTTCTAAAATTCCTTATTGGGAAAAGTGGAGCACACCGCATTGAATTGAAACCAATTTTCATACATTTTTGTATCTGAAAATGGTGAAATGCCTTTCAAACGTTACAACTGCTCACTTCCGCCCAAGTCCAAACAGTGACAGCATCAACAGGTTCCTCACACGTTCTCCTTTTCCACCCTCAGGATAAAAGGCACAGAGCTACGCACCTGAAATCATTGAAGTCCAAGGCTGTCATCGTTTCCAAGACAGAAAACTGCTGCACCAATAATTTAAGGATCACGGACACGCGGTGCATCCTAGTGACAACTTTTAGCATATTCCTCTCATCTCTGACCTAAGATTAAGACATGAAATGCTGAATAATCAATGCCGACCTCTTGGGCAGAGAAGAAATTATAAATGACAACGCACGTCTGTCAACTTCAGGACTAACTGGAACTGGTCATTGCCATAAATATGTGTTGAAGGAACAGTAATACGGAATTGGGTACCAGGGACGCCAGTAAACCCAGGATCATTTTTCTGTGGAAATGGAAAATGAAGTGGCAGTGAGCAAGAAGAAGATTGTAGGAAAGCAGCTGCCTCCGATTCCAAGACAAGCTTTTCACTTTCATTTTGCTGTAAAGGGAATAAGGTCAAGGGAGTATGGGGACTTCTGAGGATTCCGCAACACGTGGAGAGATCTGCTCTTGACTGACAAAGCTGCCGCTGACACGAATGGGAAACACATTCAACTATGTGAGAAGAATGTCACCTGTCCGGAGAACACTCCAGGAAGTTCATGGGAAAATAAAGGTTATGTGGGTGCAAAAGAAATGTTGAAATCTGTGAATTGGTCTTTTATGCTCCCCTCGAGCCTTTGGAAAATTTCTTGGTACGCAATCCCTAGCCAGCCGCTCCTGGGGGACGAGCTAAGAAGCAAAGAACCAAGGCAGGATGCTGTGAGCCTCTACAAAGAGGAAGGGAGACTGGACAGGAGGAAGGACAGTTGAGTCCTCACCATTAACCGAAGGGTCCCCGATGCTCCCTCATTAAATACTGTTCTTGCCACTTGGTGTGGGATGTAACTCATTGATCAGCTATTTCTGTATTTCCTGATGCATGAAAGCAATATTGTGACAAAAAAAAAAAAGAACTTACGTGACCATTCTGAAAAATTTCTCGAACAGAGTCTAATTCCCAGAGGATCTGTTTAAACCAGAGTTCATAAGCTGTAATAATAAAAAAAAAAAAAAAACATCGTCAGTTGGAAAGTCATGGCAATCTCTTTGATCACAGTTCTTTATGGGCAAAATGGTTAACACTGAAAGAGATATGAAAAGGTTAAATAAGCGAAAAAAGCATTACATATAAAGATAGCACTGTTCAAACTAGAAATACCAGTATTAGAATGATAATACCAAGAGTTTATTGAATGTTTTAATGTACCCAGCACGTTTTTATGCTTTATATTCATTATCACAGTGATTCCTCTCAACTGAATGTTTGTAAAGGTGAAAAGAACGTTTTTTTCTTGTTTTGCAAAACGTCAGTTACCTACAAGCCAAAGCAAGACTGACAACACAGTGACATACATTAAGTAGATTCTGACTTTTTTTGGTCACTAGGCTACTCATAGTAGGACTAAATTATTCCCGCATTAACTTGCTCTTAAGATTTAGAGTTTTTGTCTTGTTTTAAATTGGAAAGGCAGATATACAGAGAGGAGAGACAGACATCCATCCACTGCTTCACTCCCCGGGGGGGATCACAGCGGTTGGGGCCGAGCTGATCTGAAGCCAGCTGCCAGGAGCTAGGAGTTTCTTCTGGGTGTTGCGCACAGGTACAGGGTCCCTAGGTTTTGGGCCATCTTCTACTACTTTCCCAGACCACAAGCATGGAGGTGGAGCAGCCAGAATACTAGCAAGTGCCCATATGAGTTCCCAGCAGACACAAGGTGAGGATTTAGCCACTAGGCTATCATACCAGAACCACATAAGTCTCAGACTATAAGTGCTTAGTGTCTAGATTTTATCACATTCATCTATGTTTGCTCAGTATTTAATCCAGTGCAAAAATAAACATTGAGTGGTCATTTATAAATAAAGAAATGTAGTCAGTCTAACTATGGACTAAACTTAGACAACCATCTTGGAGATCTGTATTGTACCCGTTTGGGTTCAATTGTATAGATAAAAGTTATATTTTTGAGATAATTGAATCTAACTGTAATTGTTAATTTGTGGAAGTTTGGGAATAGAGAGAAAACCAAATATCTGTTGATTAACTTATGTATCTCTTTTTCACATGTAACACGTTGGCTAGTCGTATGACCCACTGCTTACAAATCACCAGTGCAGGATGAAAGAGAGGGGAGCCTATCAAATGATATCAGGTGTTAATTATTGCATGCTGATCAAGTACCTTCCCTAGGCACCCATGCTCCCCCAAGGATCTCTGTGAGTGAGCAGATGGAATGGGTCTGCCCACTTGGCAGCTGTGAAGATAAATCTCCCTGAGATATGCACAACTGGACCAAAGGTCACACACCTTAGAATGACCTAGACAGGGTTCTGTGCAGCTTTCAGATGTCGCGTTTGTGGCACTAAGCCGCAATTCCTTTCTTGTTGACTTTACCTTGGCATAGGATGCCAATAAAAATACAAGCACAGAAGCAGAAGGAGTAACACATTAAGCCAGCTGCCGTTTGTCCTTGGGTGCTCTATTCCCTGGGGTTTCCAGTGCAGCCAGTCACTGAGGATCTGGACTGGGAGGGGAGAATGGGAAGATATGTAAGGTTACTGGGATTTTGTGCCCTGACAAGTCAGAGAACTATAAAACGTCCTGGACTACTTTAAAGAAAATGTTCTTAATATATGGGGATCGTACACCGTTTAGCATATATTCATTAAAAATGTGCATACAATTTCAGAATTTAGGGGCCATCTGAGCTCCTAAAGGCCTGCATTTCTAGATCAGAAACCACTGCCCAGAGGTAAAAAAAAAAAAAAAAAAAAAAATCTGGCATTCTAAAAAATTGTATTTTTTTCTCTATTGTCAGTTTTTTTACACATAATACATTAGATTGTTTAATTCCTGAAAATAGCTTTTAAAAAATGTTCTAACTTGAGAAACAGTAACAGCTTGTAAACTCTTGTTGAATTTCCAAGAATGGGGCTCAGCATGGTAGTCTAGTGGCTGAAGGCCTCCCCTTGCACGCTCCAGGACTCACAGAGGTGCCAGTTCCCATCCTGGCTGCCCTACTTCCTGACGAGCTCTCTGCTTGTGACCTGGGAAAGCAGTGGAGGATGGTCCAAGGCATTGGAACCCTGTACCTGAATGGTGCAGAAGAAGCTCCTGGCTCCTGGCTTCGGATTGACTCAGTTCTGGCCATTGCAACCACTTGGAGAGTGAATCAGCTCTCTTTCCTTCTATCTGTAGATGAGCCCTTGAAATAAAAATAAATTAGCCTTAAAAAGAAAAAGGGAAAGAAGGAAAGGAAAGAAAGGAAGAAAGGAATGAAGGGAGGGAGGAAAGAAGAAATCCAAACAATGAAAATCCTCCATGGAATTAGACAAAGCTGGAGTCCTGTTTGAAAGAACAAAAAAAAAAAAAAAACCATAAAATTAAAAAAAAAAAAAAGAAAGAAATGTGTTCACCAGTAAACTGGTCTCAGGCATTTCCGAAACAGATAGTTCTGTGCCATTTCACCAGTTTATTGTTGAAAGGCCGTCTTTTCTCGTTAGTCACGGGAGAGTCTTTGGAACTGTTCGTGTCGAGTCTGAATGCAACATACCTTGATGCGTTATGATGAAAAGGTGCTCATCGTGGATCTTGTTGCCTTTTATTTCACTTTGAAGTTCTTGCGCACTCAAAATTTTTTCCAGCTTAAAGTGAAAATAGAAACATGGGGCTTAGTATTACAAACCTTGTTTTTCACCATCTCAGTGGGAGTGTTCTCCAGCGTCCCAAACACAGCAGGAGCACCTCTATCCCTTTCTTTTAAACAATCAGCGTGTCTCTTTAGAAAGGAGTTGAACGGATGACTTTTATTTTTCTCTGAAAAAATTATACTTACTAGGAGCTTATCATATCACAGTTATTATAGTCATTGCCAGGCCACATTCCCTGTAACATTCAACGATTAGGGGATAGACTAAAGATGTGTTCGACTGTGTATCTGTCGTTTTCCGCTCATCCAACAGCCTCTGTGTAAATGATCTTAACATTTTTTTATTCATGAAAGTACAAGGTTTTCTTCCTCAAAAACTAGATGGTAATCAGGCTAAAACTTAAAAAAAAAAATTTCCAAAATCTCCTTTGCTGATTTCCTCTTACTGACTGATGATGAAAAAACAAAAATCAAACTAAAAGCTTGGGTGCCTTTTACATTTGTACTTTATGCTGAATCTTAAAAAGATTGTTTTTTTTTCTAGATGCATTTATAGTTTTCTAGGCTGAGCCTACTGACTGCTTCTTATTTATTCAAGTTATATACTGCTTGAATTACTAAAGCTATGTCATGCCTTTACACGCTAGGCATTCACTCAAGTCTCTGATTTCATTCTACCTCTACTAAAAAGTCGCTATTTTCACCTGTGCGTCTCTTGAATTATTCCACCAAAAACATAAAAACAGAAATTTGTGAATAAGGTTGTTGATGACGGAGGGTGCAAGACGTGGAAGAGTAACTTAGCAGAATTTAGTGCCTAACAGTGGTGGTTAAACCCTGTGAGAAGCCTGGCCCCACCTGTAGGTAGTTCCCATAGATAAGTCCTCCTTTGCTGGCTTTATTCACACCAGTTTGGGATTTGTCTTCTTCTCTGCCTTCCACGGGTAGGTTATTCAAAGCGAATCTGTTGTTTTAGTAAAGGAGAAAAGAAAGCAAGAGCTTGAGAACACACAGGTAACAGTACGTATGGGCGGTTAAACTTCCCTTGTTAATTTTGTGTAGATAATTCAACAAGGGGATCAAGGAGACAGCATTCAATGCTCTCCATATTCAGAAACTCAAATGCCCATCCTTGGTACTTCCATTAGCCTACATCTACTTAGAACACAAGCAAATACTCACCCAAAGTTGTTTCCTAAAACTGGGCACCCACTCATGATGAAGAGACACTGTCCGAGCAGCACAGAGCTCCGACTCCGGCTGGAGGGCTCATTGATCTGGATGTGCTACTGCTGCCTTTTACGAACTCTGTTTACGCTGCACAGCCAATCAGCTCCCTCCTTGTCCGCCTAGCTAGAGTGTCATTCCAGGTGTGGATTATAGAGAGGATTAAGGCCATCATCGTTTGTTTTCTGGAACAGTATGATGCCAAATTGGATTATTTGACTTCCCAACTTTTGCTTTCATATCAGAAGTACTGAATGGCAAATAAATCAATAGGAGCGGGGTTTTGAAAAGCACTATTCACTCCTCAATTATGATAAAATACGTGGCGTAGCGTTAGGATGCGCAGGACGACAGATTTGTAGAAAGGCAACATTCTCTCGGATTTGCACAGTCCTATAACCATCCATTAGGCAAAAATAAAACCAGATTTTCATTTCTAAGCAAAGAAATCCGCAGTATCACAGATCGTATGTATGTTGTATGTGCTCTTTCGTCTCGTCATTAGAAGTTGTGATCTATACCCTAAGCAATAACAGTTAAGCTTCTAACACAAGGCAGTGGAATTTAAACAGACAGAACTAGTTTACTTGTTCAACCCATGGCATATCAATAGGAGGGTAGTCCTGGCTCTTTGAGGTATTATCTCTACTGAGAATTTAAGAATAATGACTATCACACGCTCACAATTTTAAAGGTCAGTGATATAATAGGCTTCCTGGAAATGGTGTTTATTGGCCTACGGGCCCAACAGCTGCTTTAAGGAACTACGGAGTCAGGGCAAAAGTGCCATTGCCCTTTCCTTATTGCACCCATCCTGTTCATTGATAATTATGTATAGAAAGAGCATCACCCATTTTATTTCACTACCTACAATCAAATTTGCTAAATTCATGAAAGAAGTTAGAACCGGGAGCCCAGTGTGGTAGCTTAGTGGCTGAAGTCCTTGCCTTGAACACACTGGGATCCCATATGGGTGCCAGCAGCCCTGCTTCCCATCCAGCTCCCTGCTTGTGACCTGGGAAAGCAGTCGAGGACGGCCCAAAACTTTGGAACCCTGCACCCGCATGGGAGACCTGGAGGAAGCTCCTTGCTCCTGGCTTCAGATTGGCTCAGCTTCAGCCATTGCAGCAAATTGGGGAGTGAATCAACAGTTGTTTGACTTGGAGATAAAACTGAGAAAAGAAGAAATGAAACTCAGGACATGGGTTTCAAGGTTGAGAGATGTTTATGGATAACCATGGGTTCCTTACAGACCAGTTTCCTCCCTCAAAGTGATCCAGGATGACAACCTCCAGGGTGGAAAAGCAATCTTGGGGCTGGAATACAAAAAGGAATATAAATAGGGAAAATGGAATGTCTTATAGAAGGAACAAAAGGGACCTTTTTCAGCCTAGGTTGCGAACTATATTTGCGGAGAAATGCCTAGAAATAAACTTTTAATTTATTTCTTTTTTATTGAAAAATGTACCATATTAAGAAAGTAATTCCATTGTGTTTGGGAAAACAACAGAAGATAGTGCTTGCATTCTTGCATTCACGCTGGAGACCCGGGAGCTACTCCTGCTTCCAGCCTGGCCCACCCTACTTTCAGGGGGATTTTCTGAGAATCCGAGGTTATAGACATGTCCTGAAACGTAACAGGAGCACTAGCTTTACTGCTGTCATTTTTTTGTTGTCTGAGCTGTCACAGCTTCGCTATAAGAAGATTGAATTTAATTAGAGAAAATATCCGCAGGTAGTGCATCAAAATAAAGTTGATGATAGCTTGCTCTCTTCTTGTTCCAACGTGTAAAAATAAATCAGATAATTTGTATCATACCTGCAATGATTACGGGCAAAATGCAAGTAAAAATAAACATGTTAAAAAACAACAACAAAAGCAGGGCTAGAGGCTAGCATTGTGGACAGCCCACGTGAGAACCGATTCATCTATTAGCTGCTCTACTTCTCAGCCGGCATCCTGCTCACGCTCTTGGTTTTCCTTTCTATTGCAAACCTCACCCACCCAGAGATGCTGATGTCACCAGAAGGGCTCACACGGAAGGCTGGCATCCTCCTAAACCAAAGGACCTAGGAGAGTTGCGTTTTCTCACTGACGCGTTCTACAGATGCAAAGAGCATCTAGCATCCTTTTGTATTTGTAAATGAAGACAATAGTCTCCATGAATGGAATGATATTTCCAGATTCATTTTAAACATGTGTCTCATTGTTCTTGATTTAGAAGGCACTACATGACGCCTGGTCTTTTCTGTGACATACATGTATGTGAACCATTCTCTCCGTGGCATTCGAGTACTGTAAGATTTTTGCTTCTGCTTCTTGCCCCGAAGTCACCTGGACTTAGTTGTGTCTGCTTAGTTTCTCGGAATATCACCTCAGTGGTCATCTTTGAAAGGCAAATAAAATGCAACTGTGTTGTAAGACTGAAAATTCTTGCAGGTACCAAGAAGAGTCAAGATTTGATTCAATCCATCTGATTTCTCTCTGCAGCGTCTACTGGATTCCTAGTACTGCTTTAGCAAGGGGTCACAAAGTTGGTGGCCAGCAGACTGATATGAAACCAGCCAGCAATCCAAAATGCCGTCCTCAGGGTCAGACCTCCTCCAAAGTTCCTGAGAAGCGTCCTTGCTTGCCACTTATGGTTCTTAGCATTCCCTTGCACACTCAGGCATTGCCCTGTCCTCACACAGCCTTGCATCCTGCACACCTCTGTGCCCAAGTCTCTGCTAACTTCTCCTACAAAGATACCACTCATTGGATTTGTCACACACACTGAATCCAGAAATTTATTACAAAACCCTTGGACACTGTATTTAGAAAGACCTTATCTGAATAAAGTCACCTTCTGAAGTTCTGAATGAACATGAATTTAAGGAACCCTATTCCAATGCATTGTCTAAAATCCACATGGAAAATGTTTTAAAATTATTTATGTTCTATTATTCCCCAATATTTGTATCTTATTAATCTTAACTTTAAAAAAAAGTTACATCTTTGATTTTTAAAAATTTTGTTTTGTTTGGCTTTGGTCTTTTAAAAGATTTGTTAAACACACTCCTGACAGCCATCTGTTAGAATAGTCCCCAAAGTCAGTAGGCATTGACTAATCAATGTTTGTGTTGTAAGTCGTTGGAAGGAAGGTAAATTTCTCGCAAATGATCTATTGCAGCAAGACAAACGATCAGAGTTGAGAAAACAGATAGGAACATAAAACTTTCAGGCACATGCTTAGAGTTCAACACAGGGGTCACCTTGACCTGCAGTGTGATGTTTTGCATGAACACCCAATTTTGCAACCAAGTTAAGCATTAGTAGAGTTCTTCCCCCTGCCTTGACCAATTACAGGGACGTTTCCAATGGTCCATGGAAAGCCACAGAGGTGTTTCAACAGAACCTGCTTCCCTGAAGGTGTGGCTGCAAGCTGAGTGACAAACAGAAACCTCCTCCTGACAGAGCCAATCGCAGAACCTGGCAGAGAACAGGAGTAAGAACCCGAGCGAGCGTATTCCAGAAAGCCTTTCATCTGGGGAAGATTGAGCACACACTCCAGATATGGGCTTTGAGCTTGCAAAAGACGAGGACTGGCCCCACAGCTCCTGGAGAAAATCTCAGTGGTCCCCAAAATCCGTAACTGGTAATCATTAGAAAGTCAACTGCTTCTTCTATTTAAACATATGTAAGGATCTTTCTTGTACATGCAGAATTATTTTGGATAACTGATTAGACATTTTCTTAGCTATCGTCATTCAATAGAAAATAAAGAAGGAGGGTCGTGGTTTGCTGTGGTGGTTGGGATGCAAAGAGGGCCAGGTTCCAAGACGGACTCGGCTTCTTCAGGGTGTGTGTGCCAGGGGACAACAGACCACGGTTCAAGCCCTTCAGTTCCTGTCACTCACTTGGGAGACCCACAGTACATTTTTATTTTCCAGGCTTTGTCTGTGAAATATAAAGTACCAATTCAAAGCTAAACATTTTTTTGATATCTGAGAATTAGCAGAAGCTAAATGGTTATTAGGTACCTTTTTTTTCCCCCAAAAAATAGCATTGATCAGATGTAATTGAATGTCACGTGTTCAGTCATCTATAAAAATGGTAGTGGGCCAGAATAAACATTCTTGTCTAGACGTTCCCTATTGACTGTGCATGTTGCTACCCTCTGAATCCAAAGTCAAGGTCGCGTTGAGAGTATGCTAGTTGTGTCTTTTGTTCATTGGCTCATGTTGATTTCATCCTCTGCGGACATCAGCGCGATTGAGTGTATTTGCTTGAGATGCCATCAGTGCAAAGGCAGTGGAGAACGAAAGGCTGGAAGTCTCTGGATCCTCAGTGGGTTTGGTTTCATCCTTTAAGAGCCCAGCTGCATGGGAACATGTCTGTGTCATTAGCCAGGGGAGAGGAAGAGCCTGGAAATTGTGTCTCCTGTTAAGTGAATTACCTATTCAGATCAACTGCAATATCCAGGGAGAGCAGAACAAGACTAAGTGGGGACTTCCATACTATTTTTATTTTTTAAACTCTCAGATTAAAAAAATATTTATTTAAAAGCATCACAAGGGGCAGGGGAAAGATCCTCGTTGGCTGGTTCTCTCTCCAAATGGCTGGAAGTGCGCCATCAGGTCTCACCTGGGAAGTGAAACCAGTGGACAGAAGATCTTTCTCTTTCTGTCTTTCCCACTGTGTCTATATCCATGACTTTCAAATAAACAGAAGTATCTTTAAAAAGAGAAGTGAGAATCATTGTATCCATGTGGCATCCAGTGTTTTGTTACGGAAGAGAGAGACATGTCTGAGTCAAGAGAATTAAGAAATATTTTTATGTTTGCCTTTGTTCAGCCAGTAAAGAATAGGTAGGAAATGGAAAAATCTTACGTGTCCTCTTTTTTTTTCCTCCCTTTTTTGTCTCTTTTTTTTTTTTTCATTTATCACATACAGTGTCGTGAGAGAGATATTCTTAGGCTATGGCTGGAAAGAAAGACAAATAGAAGTTAACTTCAGCGTAGTTTGAAGAGTAAATGAGCTTCAAGGTAGTTTGTTCTCAGGCTTGAGTCTTGGCTAAACAACAAAGCAAATAAAATATAGTTTCAGAAACCTATCTTTGTCTTGAATTTTCCTGTTTGCCTCCGCTGCCATCACAGCTGCCCTGTTACTGCTTCTAGGGTGACACGAGCTCGCAGCCTCGCTTCCTACACAATCTGTCCTCAAGCTTAGACCAGCAAAGGCCTCTTAACAGTTATAATGGCGCATGGTTGATAACTGGTTATCAGTTACAACATTACAAAGCTCTGTTTGCCATCACGGCTGCACAGGTGCTTCTAAGTAAGGGAAGATGAGCCAGGAAAAGGAAGTGGAGAAGTTGGCTATTATTCTTCCCAGCAGTCCCTGAATTTCAAGACTAAACCTAAAGTTGTAAATTAACCTCAAAAAGGGTTCTTCAATGGAGAAATGCTTACACCTTTGGATGGATCCTGCTCCCAGAATTCTTAACGTCAAAGTTGGGAAGGTTTCCCCAACACCCCTTATTTATATCACTCAAAACCCCTTCGCTTGCGTCTGGGAAAGTCTAGCTTCCACTGAAAGCACCTAACTTCCAACCTTCCAAGTATTTGTAAGATACATACTAATAATAATTGGCTATATGCTTCTAAAAATAAACCTTTGTCATTTCACAGAATTGATCTAGCAGAGATACATGCAATTCCCGAGTTCAATCAGTAGATGGCAGCATTTGTAAACAAAAGCGTACATTCTCATTGAACTAAATTCTGATTTTCCAAAGTGTTAGTAAGAAAAATAATTATTCTCTAATTATTTTTTACAGTAATTATGTTCTTTCCATTGATTCCTGAGGATATATACACTCTGGATTTTACTTTACCATTTTAGTTCTTATTATTTTTGTTAGTTTTATCTGTTAATAATACCAAGAAAATTTCAATGAGAAAAGAAGACGTTTCCCACAAAAAAGCTTCTTTCATCCAGTTTTACATATCATCACAGAATAAAAAGATCTTTCCCGGGGTTGTCAGCTAGCCTGGCCAGAGTGCTATAAAAATCCTTGACAAGGATGGGCTCCTTAAATTCCTTTATTATTATTTTTTTAATAAAAATGACCTTTTAAGAATACTTTTTCTCACACCATGGTAACTTTTCATCTGTCCGTAACTGCCCACGCTGGCTTTACCAATGTGATTGATTTGTAGGTTATGCAGTTTGCAAAGCAAAACATAGCAACACAAATATTTAAATTGCCCTCGTGTTTTACGACCTCAACCACTGTATTTGACATAAAGGCAGCAAATTGAAGATTGTCTGAGATGACTTTCGCTTGTACCCTGAGGACTCCTGCTTATGGAAGCTGCAAATGGAGTGGACCCAGCCGTCAAAAGCCCATGCCGAGAGAGGTAGGACCTCCCAGCCACCCTGACTGCTAGGGGCTTGGACTAAGAGAAAGGAAGAGATAATTTTTTAAGCTTACTTGTTTGGTCCGTTTGAATTCCATTGCTGTGTGGACGTGATGCAGGTCACATAAGTCTGCACCATGGATCGGACACGTTTAGCTACTCAAAGAAAAAGGAATGAATGGAAGAGAATCCAAGGAAATTTACAATGTCACTGTGCATTCAAATCTGCTTTTTGTCTGGTCTCTGCCATTCTACTGCTTTCATTGCTGTTTGTTGTGTGCCTGCAAGTTTTGTTTTTTAGATAGAACGTGCCCAGAATTCCTCCAAGTGCCCTTATGAAGATCAGGAGCCAGTGCAAGGACCACTTTCCCCAATCTCCAGATCTCTCTGTACCCATTTTCTGGTACAAGTTTCAAAGCAGTTCAACTCTTTTTTTTTTTTTTTAAAGATTCTATGTTGTAGGTGATTCAATTCAAGGTGGGTTAGTTGGGAAGCTGAAATTGACATCCAATGAATAGGGAGTCTGAATACATGTGCATTAACCAAAGTCACTCTGAAAAGCGTGAGGGTATTTTTAGCAGATTCATGCAACCAACTCTTGTACTTCTTGACTCCTAAGTAAGTCATCCAATGCAAAAGAAATTTTGAGTCCCTCTGTAAAACACATGCAAAGAAGCGGCCCGTGTGGCTTCTGCATGATTTGTGTTCTTCCTAACTCACTAATTTTTTTTTCTTCTTAATTATCCTACGGGCAAAATCTTAAGGACTCTTAGAAAAGATAAAGCTTTGCCTTTCAAAGCAAGCACTGCCATCTCCCACTGACCGAAAGAAATTTGACCATGACTTTGCCATCTCCACTTCCATTCATGGGGTACACAATGTCGTCCGGAACAAGAGCAGGCTCCGGCGGGCGCTGTGGTTGGCGGTGGTCCTGGGCTCCGTGTCACTGATGGTGTGGCAGATCTATAGCCGCTTACTCAACTACTTCACATGGCCAACCACCACATCCATAGAGGTTCAATATGTGGAGAAGATGGAATTCCCGGCTGTCACGTTTTGTAATTTGAACAGGTAAAAGAAAAAAATCACTTTGGAAAATAATTATTTTCTTTCTTAACTTATGTTTACACTTTAGTAGGACTACGGTCTTCCTAGTTTTTATTTGCTGAATATAACAATTAGTGGAAGATTGAACATGTGAATGTAGAGTGGATTATAATTTATATATGGGAAAAAAAACTGATAAAGGAGCAGGATGAAGAGATGTGTGTGTTTGCGCGAGCATGGGGAGACAATTATACACCAAAGAGACCGTTTCGTTCTTATATACTTTTGTGTCATTTTTCTTATTTTTAAAAATTCAAAATTCTATTTTTAGTATTGCTTACATAGTTGACAGGGATCATTCTACTGGCAAATGATATGGCTGTCGGAGCCTCTGTGTGCGTCTGGGCATGCTGTCCACTGCGCAGGCACCAGTAAATGAGGAAGCCCAGTCCTGACCCATGCACTGGAGGGCACCCCACAAAGCTCGTCATTTTCCCTGTTTTCCTGATTTGAGTCCGGTACTCCAGTTGGGGCATTCCCCGAGAAACCTCCTTGGCTGATATCAGACTTGATTCTCCTGAGTTCCAGCTAATATGGGAGCGAGTTCTGTCAGTATTGCCAGCAGCCCCACCTCTCGTGCAAACCCGAAATAAGAATGGGATGCATACAGGGATGCAGCAGCATGGTCTGCCTGCCAAGATCACATCAGGCTAAGTGATGCCCACCATGAAAACTGTTTTCTTATCTCTGAAAACGTAGACAATGTTGTTTACATGTTTATTTATCCTCTGCTTTGTGTATGACCCACTTTGGGGAAGGGTTTAGTGAGCAAGGACAACTACATACCTACAAAAATATATAAAGGAAAGTAAGACGGAAGTATAAGACATAAAGCAGGTGCAGGAATGACCCACGAATCAGGCATCGCGTGACCCTGTGCAGGTGTTAAGCGATACCCATCCATTCCTCTCCATGCTTTTTAGCACCGAACTAAGGAGAGAAAGTTTTCGTATCAATACTGGCAAATTCCTATGAAAGTCCTGCTTGTACTTGGAAAGGGATGTGGAACATGCGTTACAGAGCCATGCGTCACACAAGGCAGGGATACAGCAGCAACACGAGGATTACAAAATAATACGGACCATAGGACAAGTTCTGAATATATTCCTTCTGATTTGATTGCCAGGAAATCACTGGCAAAAACGACGCATTGGTTCAATGAGCACCTATCCCATAGTCCTATGCTACAAGCATCCTTCTCAAAGTCTTCAGAAAAATTACTCATTTTGTCTTCAACTAGTATGTTGAGAAAGGTTCTACGAACATACACTATTTTAACCAGGGAAGAAATGAAGTGGCAGGGAGATGAAGGCATTTGGGAACAGAGTGTGATTGGAGAAATGAGCAGCTATGAATGACATACGCCAAAGGATGAAAGCATATGGGGTAACCCTTGGTCAGGGCTCAGGCCTGGAGAGGAGACCCTTGCAAGTGTTGCTTGGTTTTGTCGCTGAAGTCAGCAGAGCCTGTCAGCAGGACAAGCAGATGCGAAGGCAGAGAAACAAATGGAAGGTGGTCATGTGTGTCCTTCCATCGCCCTGACTTTGGATCTCAACTCACGTAGGATGTGAGAAAGTAGAAGGAAGGAATAAAAAATAGAAGTGCTGGCAGCTCCCCCAAAGAGCTCCCACTAGCAGGCCAACTAGAACGTTTGGTGTTCCTGCTCTTCTGTGAGGGTCGCAGTGTAACTAGATAAGAATAACAAAGGAAATGTTAGGAAATACAACTTCCAGTAACACAGAACCAAACCATGACAATGACAGAACTAAGATCTGAACCCAGGAACTCTGCTTCCTAGGTGTTGACAAGTTCACATTCCCAACTCTTTCTTTGGAGCAGAGAGGAATTCGAATGCTAAATGTCCATTAGAATTCATCCATATCGAGTACTACGGAGTATTCCAGACAGATGACCCTGTGCACAAATGCAGAGTAAATTGCATCATGTGTCAAAGACCTCTGGAGTCCCCTCTGGCTTGGATGGAGACGATGGTTGGAGATGAAAAAGCAAGAACAGATGAAGTCCAGAGACTGAATGTCTGTCTCCTAGATAAGCAGCAGCTTTTATTGTCCTAAGTATTCTTGTTTTTCCAACTAACAGGTTTCAAGCAGATGCTGTTGCCAAGTTTGGTATCATTTTTTCTTTATGGGATATTTTCTCAAAAGTTCTCCATCTTCAGGAAATCGGGGAAAATTCCACTGCTACTAGAAAAGCGATGGATTTTGTTGCAACTCAGCAGAATTTCAGCATCACAGATTTCATCAGGAACAATGGGTTTTATCTAAACAATAGCACTCTGCTGGAATGTGAGTTTTTTGGAAAGCCTTGTGGTCCAAAGGTAATAGTTTAATATTATTCCATGCTATAATAGAATGAACCACTTTTCCATGCTGTTTCGTATTGAAAGAAAGCTCACTGACACGGGGGGACTAGCCTATTTGCTCAGATTGTATTTCACTAACTTGGAATACACGTAAGACAAATTTCCTCTCTCACACAGTTACATAAGCAGAGAGTCAACTGAGATTTTGATTGTATCTCTTGTATAAATAATTTAGCAAAAAATGTTTTAATTTTTCCCATTCATCATGAGCAGTATACTCCAGCATAAGCTGATTGGTACATTTGCAATTTTTTTTTAATTCTTGTGATATTGAATCAAAACTACAGAAAAATTAATATATTCTGCATTCTATATGAAAATTATATACATAAAATTCACTCACAATACATGTATAGTTCAGTGTTTGTTATATGCTTACTAAACCTTCAAGACAAAGTGTTGTATATATCCGGAATCTACATATTAAAAGCATGTCAGCAATAAGATTCTGTTTTCCAGTCAGCAAATATGAAATCCGGGTTTTTTTTTTATGACTCTAGAATTCATTTCTTGTCCTTTTAGCACTCTCATTTAGCACACAACAAACAGAAATAAACCTGTGAGACCTTTGACCTGGAAGAAGTCTCTGGCTGAAATTTTAATCTGGAGGAGAAACTTTTCTAGCTTGCTTTTTATTTGCCAACATATTTAAACCCAACTTGAGCAAAGTTTGCATTCAGTATTCATTTTAAAGTTGCATGTTAGGAAAACTCAATTCTAGGAAGTAGGAAAGCCCAAGAAATGATTTCATTCAGTGGGACCTCTTCAGAACAGATAGGGCTAACGAAAACGCTGAACCGAGACAGCTCCAGACTGTTCTAAAGTGCTGTTGCTCAGTCTCCTGACTGCAAGGCCCCGTCCTGTATAGCCTTTCCCCATTGTGGACGCAGCAACTGCGCGAATCCCTACAGTGCCAGTATTTTAGCTGGGTACTCCACTATCCATGTCATAAACCAAGAGACACGTTTCAACTCCTGCATCAGCCACTGAGCCGAGAGGGCAGGGCGGTAAGACTGGCCGACAGGTGTCATGGCGTAGCTCCGTCTTAGAGGTGGTCGGTAGGAGCCGAAGTGGCACAGCAATGTGACGGATCTGCCGAGAGAACAGAGGATGGACGAGGGATGGCTCTCCATGGGTGAATCTTGTTTTCATGAATCCACAGGTGAGACGTAAAACAAGAAATTCTTAAGTGTGGAAAGACTACATCGAAGTATTTGAAAATGTCTTATTTAAATAATCATATTCCAGTTGACAAATATGTGTGTTTCAAAATTCAAGCCCATCACTGAATACACATATAAATTACCACACTGCCTTGCTTTCCGGTGTTTCTACATTCCCATTCAGACATCTGGGCCTTTTCTGAAGTTATGTAACTCACTCCTTAAAAATGACAATTGACTGTGTTTTATTTGGTTCGTTTTCTTCCTGAGGATTTTGCACACATCTTTACCGAATATGGAAATTGCTTCACTTTTAATCACGGTGAAAATATCAAAACAAAGAAAAAAGTGAGTGTCTCTGGCAGAGGTTTAAACTTGCTCTTCAACGTCAATCAGGTAACGAATTCTCAATCTATCCAGAAGGCAAGACACACAGAACAAACGAGTGTGTACGGCGCGGGGAACCCAAAATGTAATCAAAACATGCAATTCTCTGGAGATGTCGAACTACCCTGCTTTCACTCTTGTGACTTCAGGAAATAAGCACACCATAAAAAGAAGAAAAGTAGAGGTTTCTAAGTTGCAATATAAGTACTTATTTTAACTATGTATTTAAAAAAAATCAGGGAGATTTTGATGGAAAGAAGGCAACTCGGTGTAAAAAGGAGCTACGCATACATATGTGACAAACCAAAGAAAATACACCTGCAAAAGTGATAAAAAAATAATTTATATGGACAAGATATTGTATAAATGGTCTTTGCTCAAGACTAGTTTTAGAAAACTATAATTAGCCTAAAAATATGTGTCTAGAATTGGGAAGCATGTGGTCACATGCTCATGCTTAGTGAAAGTTGTGACATTTCTTCAAGGTTGTCTGCTATGGCTCCCATCCAAGTTGAGGCCTCGCTTTCTTTTACGAATAACCATTTCTATCATTATTTACTTAGAGATATGTTCTATCCCATTACCGTGACTTCATCTCCAAGGATTCTGAAATACTGATGGATGAAGTATCCAAAAAATTACACAATTAGTGTCAGAGATAAGAAATATGTCTTGGTCTTCTCGAACCTCACAGACTATCCCACTTCCCATTCCACAAGAACGAGGCCTTAGGCCATTTTTGCAGAAATTCTAAACAGGGTCTCTTTGTAACTTCTTGTAGCCCATTCAACATGTTTTTCATTTTCATTATGTCTAAATGATACAACACTGTACATGGCAAAGGAAATGCAACTACATATGTGTGTATATACATATATATATACATGTATATAGAGTTGTTTCAGCTCATCAGAATATTTGCTGGACAAAATATTGTGTGGACGGTTCTAATTTTAGTTATGCATTTTATAAACTAGAACTTACTAAATGCTTTTAGAATGCAGTCAAAATTTATAAACACAATATTACCAAGATATTACTCCAGATTATTTGGTTAAGTGTTTCTTGGAAGATATTATCAGGTGCAGGAGGAATAAAGTTTGGAGTTAAAAATGGAATATTAAATACAGCTATTGCATGTAATTACATAAGCTATTGTCATCTACCCAAAAATCATTATATTCTCAGGTCTGTTCCCTTTTTATAGCCAGCATTACAACCAAAGATCAAGATGTCATAAAATTTATGTAAAGAAAAGCATTGGTGTTAAATACACAGCATAAATCTTTATGGGAAAGAATTTTGAGTTTTAAACAATGGTAAGAATTTTAAGAGGAGATGAAAGCCAAGTGATTTTCTAAAACACGTGACTCCAAAAGACCATGCTAAAAGAAAGGGGAGGAGAGAGTGCCAGAGGGCATGAGATGGTTAACAGCCATCCTCTGCTTTCAGGATATTCAACTCAGGCAAAAGGGGATAGACACTTGAACACTTCCTGAGGTGTTTAATTTTCACACCTTTTATTTGAAATCCTAATATTGAAACTTACTATAAAATATCTGATGTTTACATAAGTGGGAACTGTCATGCGGTGCTTAAATACTACACTCATGTGGAACAAAATTCATCTGTGATTCACATGGGGGATCATGCACTTTTGCTCCAGGAGGAATTCATCGATAACCCAGCCCTGGGTTTTGCCGACGCTGGGATCATCTTCGTTATCCATTCTCCACGGAAGGTACCACAGTTTGACGGTCTAGGTTTGTCATCACCAGTAGGAACACACGCCCGTGTTACAATCCGCCAAGTGAAGGTCAGTACACGCCAGGCATGGAGTGAGTGAATGGTGCGGGGTAGGGAGTGCCTTTAACACATAAGTCATATATATGTATTTTTTGCTAGAAACCCCCTTCCCTCATGACTTTTAAACCCCACTAGAAATGCCAAAAATTATCCCAGATTCGTTTTCTTTATGTGTAGGTACAGCTTCAGAGTAATCCAGTATACTCACATAGTTAATACAACGAATCTAGCAGAACTTTGAGTTTTATCAGAAATTCCAAAGGTGATTAGGTCTGAGGAGGCAGCTAAGTTGGTGAACTGGGCATTTTTTTTCTTTTCTTATTGGAACTCTTTGAGAAGTAGAAAATGACAGTGTCAAGAGCTGTAATCTGGGAGTCCGATGGGCCCATCAGGGGTCCGTTTGTCTATCACTTTCTTAGTAATTTTCTTAATTAGTTTTCTGGATTTCCATTTCCTCTCTCTGCACAATCCGGAATGATATTTCCCTCTCGTTGGTACCATGAAGCTTAGCTGAACAACCACAGAACGTACTTACATTGTTGGAACACAACTATACTAGGCAACGGATGTTTTCTTGTGATTTTTGATGGCTTTGATTTGTGGGTGGGCTGATTGCTATGTTAGTTGAATGTTTATGTAGATGCTTTTTGCTTTCCTCATATGAGTTAATGTTTGGAATTGTCTATCTGACTTCATTGATTAGGGTTGTGGGTGCATCGTGCTTTGATACACGCAATTTCAGGGACTTTTCAGATTGATAGAACAGGAGACATAGACACATCTAAATGGAATGTTTCTTGTGACTTTAGACAGTCCATCAAGAGTACCCTTGGGGAGAATGCAACCCTAAAATAAAGTTGAAGAATTTCAGCCATTACAGCACCGCTGGCTGCTTGAAGGAATGCAAAGCCCGATATATCAAAAAGCAGTGTGGATGTTTGCCTTTTATGCTTCCAGGTAAAGAATGAGTGGAATCACCTCCTTATTTCACCATGCTGAAACCATCCTGGAAAGTCTCCATTGGCTAAATATAATCATCCCTGACTGATTGAAAATCTTGGAATCATGGTAGACATTTCTGGAAAAGAACTATGTGTGATTTGGGTGGGTTCCAGTTCTTATATGCAAGGATTAAAGTCAGGTGCTCTCAAACACCTCCAACAGTACATCAAGATTATCTCAACTTGCAAGCAAAGTTTGGTCATGTGTTTAAGTCTTGCTGACCATTAAAAAGCCATGGTAGGGAATTTTTTTTTTTTCTTGGTGACTGTAAAAGAAACTTCAGGATTCCTTGGGGCTCATTTGAAACATTTCCAGATTGGTCAATCTCAGAGGTTAGGTTTAAAGGATGCCAAAAGGGAGGATGGATCCAGAGATCAGGTGAGAGCCACAATTTTTCAAACAGGTGATCTTTAGGAAATCATGGAACCTCTGTACACCCCATGAAACTGGGAGCTTATCAGTACCCTACCTTATAGGGTTGGTATAAGACTGAAAACCAATAGGCAAGTGGCATAAAAATGCCTGACACGGAACATGAAATGTCATATAAATGTTAGAAGGCTGTAAAGAAAGGCAAAGTGCACTAAGGCAAAGTTAGAGTAGTGTGAGAAGTTTGCCATTATGGCTCTCTCTCTTTTCCTCTCTCTTTTTCTCTCACACACACACGCACACACACACACACACCTCCTATTTCCTCCCACAGAACATTACCATCTGTGTAGGGAACAATGTCTCAGGATTTTCAAACAGTATCTTCTTTCTCTATTTGGGTTTATCACGCTTTTTTTGAACACTGAATTATTTACACATTTGGTACATCTCACGGGTGCAGGTCTGATAAATACATTTCCCTCCTTCTTCCTCTCCTCATCCAATCCTCAACCACCATCTTTCCTTCCTTAGGGTCTTACTTCGAAAATCATAATATAAGCCCACTCTGCAGTCAAAGGCATCACTAGCCACAATATTCAAGTCTACACGGCTAAATGGATGGATGCATATAGATAGTAAATGTGGTTTTGCCCTTTGTTTGCCTGTCTTAGAAAATGTAATTTCTATATATATTACTCTTGCTGTTTTTAAGGAAATGCGATAGAATGTGACCTACAGAAATACTACAACTGTGTTTCTCCTCTACTTGGTAAGCAGTATGGTTTACTTCTTTCATTTTCAGGATGTTTATTAAGATCGCTAAACACACGACATTTAATCAATGCTATGAACATCCCATTCTGTGGAAGAGAAAATGCACTGAAGGAAGGAGCTTACTAATTTTATTAAATAATAACTTGCTTAAATATAGTTACACTCAGAAACTCACACAAATCCTCTGATTTCAAAATACACCTGATTTAAAGATAGTGATAAAGTCATAGTAAAATAATTTTGGTTTTGAGTTCTAAATTGTTAAATTGCTTTAAAAGTGTTTGCATTTCTATAATCACAAGGAAGCAGCACTTGCTGAGAAAGTGGAGACAACTTACCAGTCACCCAATTTCAAGACGAAAAGTTACATTGTCTAGATAAAACGCTGTTCCCCACGCTGTGATCTGCTTCTCTATTGTTCTCATTTTTGCTTCAGACTACATAGAAGTTAATGAACTATGCACAATGGGAACCTACAATTCCAGCTGTCCAGTTTCTTGCGAAGAAACCACATATCCTGCGACGATTTCTTACGCCACTTTCCCAAGCCAAACTGCTTTGAAATATCTTTCCAAAAAGTTGAATCACAGCCAGGAATATATCAGGTATTTTCAACAGCCTTAACACGATTTATAATCAACACGACTTTTTTCTCCCCCTTTATTGGAAGCTACCGAGAACTCAGGAAATGAAATTCTCACCAATTAAAAGAAATGGCAGCATTTGTCATTAAATTAACACTGAAAGAAAAGGATTTTGAAGTTAGATAAGCGCATATCCTTTTGTCCTTAATTTAATTACCTGAAAGTTAAATTGAAGCTTGCTTGAGTGACTTGCTCTGGGCTGAATCTTTCCGATGAAAACGATAATTCTGGCTGATATCTATCAGTGGTTTGAAACATAAAAATGCTGAGCATCTCTGTTGAATAATTCGAACCTTTCTTTAATCGCATACTATAGATGGAGCAGAAATATTAACGCTGTACATTAACAAGTGCCCTATCAAGATGGTTAGAGGCACTGACAGGAGTTACACTAGGTTATGCTAACTCCAGAAGTCACTGGTAATGGTGCAGGCTGTTGGGTTCTCCTGGCTCCCAGCTGCAGCTGTGGCTCTGCCACGGCTGGTACTCTGTTTTGGCGTGGTTCTCCACCTGCTTCCCACAAAAATTTCCGATTCCAATTCTCCTCAGGAACTGGAGTTTTCTAATTTTCTTTCTAGTAAACTTTCAGAAATTATAAAAACATACTTCCTAAAGAATCTACTGTTTCATCAGGAAGTAACTTTGACATTTCTCAAACTGTAAATCTGTATTTTTAGAGCTAGGATCTGAAACAGCAATGCAGCATATTTATGTATGTGCTGGTATCAAAGCAACGATATATTAAAGCTGATTTATGTGTGCAGAGGAAATACCCAACTTGAAAGCATGTTTTGATTTCGGTTTTAACCTGGCACCTGTTTTAACAAAACGAAACACATTGTTCTTGTAGCAATACCTAACCAGTAAACTGATCTTTGAAAATCAGATGGAAAAAAAAAAAGTTCAATAAAGGTAGGATTGATGGGTATAGTTTCAAACACGAAGACAGAAAATGAGAAAATCTGCAATTACCTGTCTGCATGCAGACATGTAAGATACAGCAGCACAGTATCTTAAACTTCCCTGCCTTCCCGTCGGAAGATCCAGTTACAGCGTGATGGCAAGCTCTCCTGGGTTGAGGCAGGCAGCAAGTGGATGCACATACTGGTAAACCGAGGTCAGGTTTAGTTATTAGGCGAACTAAGGAATTTCCAAAATTGCTTTTGTTTTAAAGTGACAGATGTTACAATAAAAAAATTCCCCAAATGGTTCACTGTCTGCAAAAAAAAAAAAATTCCGTTTGGATGGATAAACAAAATGTGGTACTGATACATTTACGGAGTACTTCTCAGCCAGGAACAGGAATGGAATCTTGCCATTGGCAACAAAACGGACCCAGCTGGTAACGCTTCTGCTTAATAAAACAAGCTAGTCTCAAAAGACAAACATTCTGTGCTCTCTCCGCTCTATGACAATTAATAGAGCACACACAAAAAAAAGATCTCCTAAGTGATATTAGAATACTAAGAACTAATTGTTATATACAGCATGCATTTCTTTACTCCTAAATAAAAGTGTAATTTCCATTTTTAACTTTCAATATATTTTTACATTGCTATTTTACTTTGTTTCATTTCCCCCTATTTGCTGTGTCTCATTTATGATATCTTTATATATTGGAAAGTTAATCAGATATACAGAGAAGAGGAGAGACAGAAAGATCGTCCATCTGCTGATTCACTCCCCAAGCAGCCGCAATGGCCAGAGCTGAGCCAATCCAAAGCCAGGAGCCCAGGTGTCTCCTCTGGGTCTCCCACACAGGTGCAGGGTCCCAAAGCTTTGGGCCGTCCTAGACTGCTTTCCAAGGCCACAAGCAGGGAGCTGGATGGGAAGCGGAGCTGCCGGGATTAGAACCGGCGCCCATATGGGATCCTGGGCATGGAAGACATGGAATTTAGCCGCTAGGCTACAGCCCTGGGACCCTTGAAAGTTAATGTTGTGGCTGTGAAATAGATGGTTATTATTGTAATAGCCTGTAGAAAAAAAGGAGGATACAAAAGGAGGAGGAGAGGGAATGGGGGACTCCTCGCCCCCATGATTCTAAATCTGCGTGGTCAAAAATGTGAAAAGTATTCCTTGGGCACGCATTTAGATCAATCTGATTACCTTCACGCTGCACTCATGTTCAGGCACCTGCGAGCGTGTCTTTAGGATTTTCTAGTGTAAGTGATGCTCTTTTTCTTTTTTCCCTTTGAGCTTTTTGTCTCTATTAAAAGTCATCACTTTGTGTCACCTGAAATAAAATTTCCTTGATTTAAATCCCGAAGAGTTTCACTCACTCTTTGGGAAAGATTCAGCAAGCACCTCATTCCTGGACAACTCGGCTGGTACAGATGTTGAGTGAGCACCACAATCCTTGTGTGGGGGAGGCGTTTATCTTCTCTCCAAGGCGCATGAGGAAGCTGTGCAATGATTATGATTGTGCTTGGGAAAGTCAACAGTATTATCAGTGTACGCACAAGTCAGGAACATAAAGATTGAAATCGTGCTTATGTCTGTGGACTTCCAAGACAACTTTATCATTTTCGTCACCTTGGGGGCTAATTTACCGTTTGTCAACATCGCTGCACCTCTTGATTGTCTTTTCAAACGAAACACATTCTTTTGTTACCCAGGGTTCGACCAATGGAAATTAGGTAAACATAACTAATATTTATTTGGAATTAAGCATGATGGGATGTAGCAACGTTAAGGCTAGAAGCAATAACAGTGATTTACGACCCTGTTGTTAAGATGTGAAATAAAACATCAAGCGATTCCAAAAAATATTGCTAACAGCAACCATTCTTAATGACAATGATTATTATTTGAAAATCGTGAATTCTTTGGTTTCCACCTTAACTCCTATCACAGTCAGGTTATAATCATCTTTCATGTATTCCTTTATATGTATGTTTTATAAATATACAACGCACACCTGTTATGTGTAATATAATCAATAAACATGTTGGGCATTAGAGATACCTCGGTGTATGAAAGACAAACCCTGTCTCATTGCACTTGTTTCTACTGGGATGGAGACGGACAATAAACATAGTTAGGCAGGTTAGAGGGTGCTAGGTGCAGCAAAAAGCTGAAGTCAGGGTTGTGGATTACAACCGGGAAACACCTGTTTGAGAAAGCAACACTTGAAAAAACATCCGAAGCAGTGTTCTCAGAATTTCGTGGGAGAGTTTTCCTTAGAGTGTGCTGGGGAACCTGGGGTAGGAAGGCTGGAGGAGAGGAGAGGCTGAGAAGCAGGGACACATGTCTTGGCAGGTTAAGGAGGATGGTTCCACTGCGTGTCTGTTGAAGCAGGTGAATAAGAGCAGCCAGATAACATTGTTTGGAATCCAGAGATAATTTATGGAAGCCTGGGCAGTGACCGTGATTTTCAGAATCTAAATGTTCAAGCATTTATAAGACAAATATTAGAATTTCCTTAAAGACTGGTTATGGAAGGATGATATTGTACACTCATCGTGGGGGAAATACCTACTGTTTCGCTTGGGATAGGTTACGTTTGAAATATCTGTTATTCAGGTAAGAATACTCAGAGGTCATGAAAATTTTATTTAAGCTCAAGGTAGAAGTTTTGGCTCCTGATGGAGTTCAGGCTGTGCAAGAACGACCAGCTATTGTTTCTTTGAGAATGTCCCCCTCTCTGGTCATGTGAAATGGTTTCTGGAAGATGCTAAAGAATGGGAGTCTTTGCTCAAATATTTCAATAAAATGGAGTAAGTGACTAATCGTTATGCAGTATCAATAGGGACCACAATGTATACCAATCCTTTATTGCATATTCAGTTTCTTCTCCCCCTCCACCCTGCCGCAATCCTAAATCCTGAAATCAGATAAGGAAATAATGACTTAGGCAAACAAAGCAAATTCTCTGGGGTGACATTCATAGCAAACGAAAGAGTAGGAACTCGAATTAAACTTAAGCACATCCTTACACATTTGTTAATTCCGCAGTAGACATTTCTATTAGGGTGATATTTCCACTTGATGCATTTTTTAAAAAATTTCTCAGGAATAAAACATGATGAAATTGTAATCCGTCAGAAAAGACTCCTACTAAAAACCGGACAGAATAAGAAGCCGTTCTAGTGAAGCTAGCTGTGACTAACACTGAATGCAACGCCATCTCTCTAGAATAGTAAACTGTATTCACCCATCCTTCATCAGATGGGAATTAAAAGTTGTGCTGAAATTGCCACCTAAAGCTAACTCAGTTTTTAATTCCTAGGGAGAATTTTGTGAACATTGAGATTAACTACAGTGACTTAAACTATAAAATAACGCAGCAACAAAAAGCTGTAAGTGTGCCTGAGTTACTTGGTAAGTGCTGTTCGTCTTTCCTAATTCTCTTTTATTTTCTTTTAGCTTTTATTCTTCTCTATTTGAGAGTTAATTTATCAATGCAGAAAAAAAATAATTTGAATAATTTATATAACAAGTATAAATATACCCCCCAAAAAGCTCTGCTTTTCATTTAACAAGTAAAACTGGGTGTTTCTTATGGGTTTATTTTGTTACTTGAAAAGCATAGTGACGAGAGAGAGAGAGAGAGAGAGAGAGCGAGCCTCCACCACCGTGAGTTCATTCACTCAGGAAATGGTCATTAACATGGACCTAAACTGGAAGTGCAGTGGCTCAAACTTGAATGAACACTCACTTGAGTATTTATGTCACAGGCAATGACTCCAGCACCTGGGCCACAACATGGGCTCCTTGAAACTGAATTGTATTGACCCCAAATCATTCATAAATCAACCTAAAACTTCCATCTTCCAAAGTCTTTGAGATACATTTGTAGAAACAGGTTTTAGCTGTGCTTTTCTCTTCTTTTTACAATCACTTTGAGATTTTAAAACATGATTAACTTATCCTTATATAATATCGCCTGTGATTATCTCATTCATTTCAAATAATCTTACATCTAATATTGCTTCATATGCTTTTCTTGTGAAAAAATAACAGTGACATAAAAATTCAATGTTGATTTTTCTTACAGCGGATATTGGAGGTCAACTTGGCCTATTTTGTGGTGCAAGTGTGATTACAATTATAGAAATTATTGAATATATATTCACCAATTTCTATTGGATGTGCATTTTCTTATTGCTGAAGATACCTGAAGTGACAGAATCATTTCCTCCTCAGCACAATCATTTGCAAAACAAAAATAGGATAGAAGAATGCTGATGTTTACTTAGAACGAGAGTGTAATTCTCTTCACAATAGCTTGTCATGACTGATTTCTGGCTATGTAACTCATGATTTCGGGAGTCCAATAAAAGCCATTCTCTTACTACGTCTATTTATATATCTATATCTACTTATTTATATGTGTACTTCTGTGTGTGCGCATATATACATATACATAGAAAGCAAGCCCTGTTCAGTTCTTTCACTATTATATTTTCAACACCCACAGTAGTGGAGATTCTATGACAGACATTACATGCTTTTTACCAATAAATGAGTATTTATGTAATAGTCAACCCTTTCAGTTAAACATGTAAAGTAGACCTTTAATAAATAAACTTTGAGAACTTACATGTACAAGTTACACTTCATAAAATGTGATAAATTTTATTTTCACTGATTCAATGTTTTTTTTTTTTCTTTTACCCTTATAACTAAATTTTGGAGATGCAGAAATAGGTGGTAACCGAATGATGAACAGATCTTTAGAAAAAGTCCGAACTCTGTCAAAAGATAATAGGGGCTGATTAGTCTTATAAATGCTTCTATTAAAGTACTGCAAAAAGAATTGTTAGGTGAAAATGTTAGGATACTTGAATATCTTGGAAAGATTAAGTTGCTAATGTCAGCAGCTTACCCAAAGGGCCAATTTCTTGTTCTTAAATATTTTTTTTCTAAAAACTCTTATTGTGGGACTCATTTTCCTTTGCTATTCCTCTTATCATCATTTGTATGATGTTATAATACATAGAATGAAAGTTCAAAAGAAATGATCTATCCTGAACTACTAATGAAGCAAGGAGAAAAACACAATCTAGTATCTGTTTATTTCTTAGAAGTTATCTTCCAGACCCCGTACTTATCTATTAAGTGTTCCTAGACTGTAAGACTTATTGTCTTAAAACCTTATATTCCCTAAAGGACCAAAGCTACAGCAGAAATAAAATGGCATTTTGTCAAAGAAATGATGGAATTTTGAAATAAGAATTAAGGAATCGTCTGATCAGATCCTGTTAGGTACGTTAGGAATTTGTCTAGAGCTGGACTCCAAATCCTCATTCCCTGTCCTGTGTCCCATTCAATGAATATTTACTGTATTTGCACTCTGGCATGATGAAGCAAGGGAGTATCGCATTTGCGATACCTTTATTTTGTTGATGTAACAGGTGTCATCCAGTTTTATCTTTAAAAATAAGGATATACTACCTTCTCTTTTTGCATTTGACAGCTTCTAACCTGAATTAGACTCAACTTCGTTGGCTTAGAGTAAAGCTCTCTCTGTGTAAAGTGAAAGTTTTAGCCAGTTCATACAACTTCCTAGGAATTTCACAGGAAACAGCTGGGGGAAAATTTCTGGACAAGACAAGTGAAACAGGGTCCTGCCACACAGATTTCTAATTGTCAGAAATAGTTACATGCATGGCATTCCTCTGAATCTGGCAGTGGAAGGAGAGTTAAGTCTTTGGTTTCTTTTTTCACAAACTACAATTCAAAAAAGCGTTCTTTGCTGCCCTCTAGAGGCTCCATGAGGCATCACTGAAGGAGAAGGACAACCCATGACCATTAAGACAAAAAAGCTTGAGGTGAAATTGGTTCAGAATACACAGGCAATACAAATATATAAAACTTCACATTTTATAAACACGGCTGATGTCATTCCTTATTTATATGTGCATCTCCCCAATCAACAGTCTTGTTTTCTTTCAATATATTGGTGGCAAAAAATTAGTATTTAAGAATATGCCTATTTGAGTCAATATTAAGAATGCATAATGGTGGCAAATCAAAGTCAAAGTTTTGGTTAGGTGTCATTTTAAAGTGTGTAAAGTGGCGTGAACAGCTGTATAAAATGACAATGTTATTAATGTCTTCTCGAAATAAAAACTATCTAGAGACAAGTGGAAAAAATAATTTATTGTAGACTTTTACACTTTGACATAGAACATTTGTACATATCTCGAGGTGTTGGTTGGAAATACTAAATTTAAGACAAACATTTTGACACAAAAGTCACTGCACTCTATTGTATAAAGATTGATATTAATAAATTACCAGAGCTATTCAAAAACAACAGGCCAATTATTCCAATAACAATGTATTCTATGTCGAGATTAAGCTGACTCTTCTGAATAGGATACTCTCAGATGCAATCATGTTCCTCAAAGCTGGTTAAAAAAAAATCTAATTTCTGGGAATAAAAGGCTGCGTATGGTTCTGGCTAATTGGGGGACCCCCCGCAGCTTTATTTTGGGGTATGGTGAAAACTCCTAACAGTTAGCCCGAGCTAATGTGTAAAATCATGCGGCTTTCTAGAATAGTCGCATGTGAATAATGAGATTGAAAGCAAAATATACAATGCATGGGATAACATTTTTAGAGGAACTGTGATTGCCACAGGATTTGAATGTGCAAGTAAATGCTCTAATAAATTGAATGCATGCCTGATACGTCTAGTGGAAAATTAGCACATTTCAAAATACTCACCATTTTTTTTAGCAGGGTATATTAATTCTTACAAGGAGAGTCTGAAAATACATTGCACTTTTCCTAAAACTTAGAGTATACTTCTTTAGAAATCGATTTCTATGATGATATACAGCAAGATGATACAAACTTTATTATATGGTCATTAAAATATACATACATATATATATATATATGTGGAATACTAAACAGACTTTGCAAACCATGATATACACGGACACACATGGTCAAATACTGTTTAGTTTCACTTCATTCAATTCAACAAATATTGGTTGGGTGCCTACTACTAGCAGATACCTTGATTAGGTAACGCTTATAGTAGATTAAGACACATGGAGTTGACATCACCCGTATCAAAAGCTAAACTGGATAGTGTAACACCTTAAAAATAACCAACAGCAGAACTCAAGTGGGATACTAGTGCAAGCTACGCTCAGGAGAAAAGTCGGAGAGCACGGAAAAGCGAAACGCCAACGTCCGTATTCCTCAAGAAGACGCGCTCCAGGGGTTGGCACGTGTTAGGAGACGCCTGGAGCTGAATTTGCAGTCTTCCTATCTCGCAGTCGGAGATTCAGTTTTCATCCTGCTTTGTTTCCTTAAAAACATTGAAAGACAAGAGAGGATTGGTAGGCAGGGACACACGTCTCTCTCCCCCTCTTAGGATATGACCTGCACCGCATCAACAGTGTCTACAAATTATTCTCATCGTGATTCCAGGTGAAATGACTCACAGAATAGCCCCACTACGGTGATCAACACATGATATAAAATAATACGTATATAAACATGCATGTAAACATAATTTAAAGTAAAAACAGCAAAGGGAAGATAAATATTTTAAGTCCTAGGATTCCATCCCTTTAGGATTTAGACTCCAAGGGCATTTTAAGGGAATGTGCACCTACAGAAAAACGAATAAACTCAAGAATCTTACTCTCTATGAAGACGCTATACATCAGCAGCAAGAGACAAAGGTATCAAGTTTGCTTATGATCCAACACGCGACGGGTCAGAGAAGGCCAAACATGACCTTGGTGTGAGCAAGCACACTGAAAATGTACTTTGGAACCAGTTTGCACTCCGTGGAGCTCTCAGAAGTCTTGCCTGAAGAAGAGCCCATCAGGGACCAGAATTTCAAAGTAAATCCCTAAAGCCACGCACAGGGATGGTTTTCAAGAACTTGAGCCTTGCTTAGTTCTGAGGGTGAGCTCAAATTAGCCGGGTGGCAGATGGGAGAGAGGCCCAGAGTCCCCTCTGCTTGCCTCAGGAGTCTCTGCACCTCATTATTGAAGATGAACCAAAGGAGCAGACCTTCTCAATCTAGTACTGTGGTTAAATTTCATCAGGGGATAAACCCAGTAATAATCCTCAAAGGTATTCCGTGCCCTTACTTACCCATCATGTTTATTCCACTGTTATCCTTAAGTCTTAATATTCATGAGAAAGTATTCTTTTCAAACAAAACATAGGTTCAGTGGTTTCACCTGAATTCCCTGTATTTTTGTTGTATCTTAAAAAATGAGACTTACATTCTTATGAGTCATACCTCCGTTTCTGTATTTTTTCTGGATAGAAACCAAACTTGCATTGGCTCTTTCTTGCCCTTCATAGACACAGGGCCCCTGTGTTCCAAGTGGAATTGTGGATCTGCGTTTTCTGGAGACATGAGGCATCTGGAAGTAGCGGCCAGGGGCAGGGAGACAAGGGTGCAAAGGTCACACGGAGAAGGTGTCAGGTACTCAAGATGCACATAAAAGATACATACACATACAAGATATGTTTTGCACACAATGATCCTACCACAAATTGCTAATAAGGTATGGAATCATTCAAAACAGAAATAATCACAAAATCTTGTCAAGCAGAAAACAAACAATCCCAAGAAATGTGCTGCTGTTACGAGGCAGATCATCACTCATGGTTATACCACCTGCAGAAAAAAAAACACACCTTTTTTACAGCAAAGTAAATATCAACAGGACATGTTCTCTTACCTGTACGTATATTCAGACACGTTTATCTTTCCTTTTTCTCCCGTGGTTTCTGTTCTGCTCGTGAGGTTGACAGTATTTCCGAAAAGACAGTACCGAGGCATGCGCTGTCCGATGACACCTGTCACAACCTCTCCAGTATGTATTCCTATTGTTATCTGCGGACATCAACGAGTTGATTAAAAAATCAGTAACAAAGGCATGTCTTCTGAATGCGTGAAACAACCAGCATCGCAACACGTGAGGAAGAATTCCCTAAGGACTCCAAACCAATGACAAGATATCATCAAAATCTTTTACAAAAATCTCTCTCTCAAGAGAGAGAGGAATATTCTGCCCCCCCGCCCAAGAGACAAATCAGAAGTCTGAAGATTTCACAGTTAATCTCCCTGCTTTCGTGAGATGCAGGAAAATACAGTAAAACGAAGCTTCATCCTCGCTATTCTCAGTGCAAGGGACACACCAGGTGAGTTCCAATATGGAGACAAAGTTCCATCCCTGTGGAAGGATGTGATACAACGGGCTCCATAAAATATCACAGCCCTTATTGTCAAGGTATGTGTTATGATACTTAGTAATGGTTTCCCGTGCAAGAATATGAATTAGTTGTTCACGAAGGTCTACTGCCACGATGATAGTTGCTGCTGTATTTACTAACCTGAACAGATTCACCATCTACTTGAACTTGGCCAGCGATTTCCATCATGTCCAAAGCTAGGTGGCAAATGGATCGCGCATGGTGAAAGCACGGCTCTGGCAATCCACTGACCGTCATGTACTTATCGCCAACAGTCTCCACCTAACTCAGTGCAGAAACACATGGGCCATTGGTTAGTGTGAAACATGAAATTTGCTCTCTTACCAAAAAAACCCCAAAATTATGCAAGGCTAATTACTTAGGGTTGACATGCGTTAGCATGTAGGAGCTTTGACTGCAGGCAGGTGCAGACATTAAATTTTATTTTGAACTCAAGGAAGCAGCTGGTTTCCTACCTACCTGCCTACCTCTCTCTGATTCCCTTATAAGGCACTAAAACAGTATATATATATTTTTTTCTGCTGAACACAGGTATGGTTTCATGGCAAGAGCCATTGTCTGAACCTTGGTGCTCCATCACTCTAATTACCCATTTTGTTTTATTATGTGCTTCCTAAGTGCTACATTGGACCGCAAAACGTCAACTACAAAACAAATAGTCCCTGTAGGGTTGTAGTGCCAAGGGACGGTTCAGCTAAGCTTCTTTGCCTCTATGAAACAATATTCCGCTGACTTCATCTTTCCAGTATTATATTTGCTTCTACTGGCAACAAAGGGGTGAAGTAACTTATAAATGTTTATCTTCAAGTTGATGTTATCTGAAAGTAAATCTGGGTTCCAGTACCTTGCTCCACTCCCATGCCTTCTTTCCTGTGCACGGCATTTATACATTTCAATAAAAGTGGCTTTTGCAGGGCACCAATGAATGCCATGTTTATACTAAATATAATAAACAGCTCACACGGATTTTTTTTTTTAACCAAATGCCACTAAGTGAGCTACTAAATATTCTACTTTATCCTGGAAATCATCTACTTGATGAAACATTCACTTTGGATACAAGAAAAAGAAAGTGTTCACAGCAGGTTAATGAAACGGTGAGTGGTGACTACCAGGAGGCTGCTGTAAGCAAGGTTTTAGGGTTACCCAGAGAACTGTGCTGTCAGGACCCCCACCAGGAAACCTCAGTAACCCAGACTCAGAAGGGCCCTGAGTGGGACCCAACTGTGAGACTTGCCTTATACACAAACGGGTTTTTCCGTGAATCCGTCAGAGTGTCGAACCTGGTGTAAAGGTCGTTGAGAAGGTTTACAATCTTCATGGCCCCCTCTCCGGAGGCGTGCTTGCTACAGAAAGCGTTGAAGCCCACAATGCCACTGAAGAGGATGGTCACATTGTCGTATCTTTTAGCTGGTACTGGACGCTTATGTCTCAGCTCGTTGGCAACAGATGGGGGAAGAACGGAATACAGCAATCTGTTACGGGATCGAGAAGGAGCAACTGTGAGAAGCACCAAGAATGCCTTTACAGCTGTGTGTGTGTGTGTTTAATTTTTAAGTCCATCATTCGTTAGAAAATGTTAAAGCCTTATTTGAATATCAAAGGTGATCAAACTACCTAACATTTGAAAAAAAAATGACTAGTAATCAAACCCCCTTGAACATCAAGTATCAGTAAAATAATAAATTCCATTCTAAGAGTCTAAAAAAATATACATATTTTTTAGGTTCTGGAAGCACAAAAGCTCTCTGCACAGGAAGTTTCAGAAAGCTAGGGCTGCCCTGGGGAACCGTCCTGTGAGGAGGATTTGTGGGTTCTCATGTCTAGACCAGCCAGCCCATGACTCTTTTCCCAACAATTCCAACTTTGGATTCCTGGTCTATTCAAAGCAGTGCTACAAGTATAGCAAGCAATCTTCTGGGCGAAAAACACAGTAAAGTGGTTCAATTTTGTAACAAGATAGTGTCCTATTATATAAATAGTGAAAAGTTGGGGAGGGAAGGAAGCTAAGCCACTGGCATCCCATATGGGCACTAGTTCAGGTCCTGGCTGCTCCACTTGCCTTGTAGCTCCCTGCCTGTGGCCTGGGAAAACAGTAGAGGATGGTCCAAGGCCTTAAGAACCCTGGAAGAAGCTGCTAGTTCCTAGCTTCTGATCTGCTCAGCTCTGGCTTTTGTGACCACTTGGGGAGTGAAATAGATGAATAAGTGAATAAGCAAAATCAATAAATAATATATGAGAGCCCGAGCTGGAGCAGAAATGGAGCAGTCAGGATTCAGATGGGGCATGTATCTGTCTGAAGCAGCAATTTAACTGCTGCTCTAAATGTGTGCCCCAAGAATCATTTTACATCTCGATGCTTTTGTTAATATATGAGGGAACTTCTAAAATTCCTTGGACCAATAAAATTCAAAGATGAGAGCTTTCTGTTGCAAAACAAAAGATCACATTCATATCTTCCAAAATTAAATTTCAAGAAAAGGAACACTTTTTAAATATACTGACCAATTAACTCCGAGCTCCCAGCTAGTCCCTGAAACACTGAAGATGACCGGCACTGGACTCTTTGAATGAATGAATACATGAAATGAATTGGACTTTGACTACACATTTGGGTTGTTAAGTTTCAGAGAGATGTTTCAGCGTGTATAATTTCAACTTGGCTTCTAGAATTAGGAGATACACACCCCTGCCATTAAGATGGGTTTACCATGCTATGTGTCATGTCTTTCTAGCGGTAATGTGGAAGGTTTCATGGACCCTTCGGAGACCCCGCAGGTCCTGCACCCTTCTAGTCTGGTGGTCATTTTGGACAACAGCAGCATCCCAGCCAGTGAAGGATACAGGAGGCAGCATCCTTACGTGTCTGTCTTTTTCTTTTCGTCCTCCAGGGCTCTCAGTGTGAGCTGCAGCCTGTCCGTGAGAATCTCCAGCTCCTGGGTCAGTTTGTACTCCTCTCTGAACTGCTCTCCCAGGAGAACCAGGTCCCGCGTGGCGTCATGCAGGGGGATGTCGCTCAGATACAAACCTCTCCTCGTCAAGTCGTCCAGGTTCATCACACTGCCACGGAGAAAGGAGGTACAATCGGGTGCAACAGCCCAGGTCTGATTGTCACCCCACCTCTCTAAAGTCTGGCTGAACAGGCAAGTCTAGGGGGTACAAGCAAGGTGCATCTTGAGCGTCTTTGAACATGTGTGAACAGGTTGCTTGGGGCATTCTGTGGGACGCACAACAATTAGCAAATAGCCTCCACAGTTTCTGATTCCTTCCAGAGAAACCTTTTTCTCTAATACCCCTACTAGGGAGCTGACGTTTCTTAAAGTTCAACAAAGAGGCCGTAGGTCACAACCCTCACTGATGGCAGGGAACTTATTAAAGTTCACAGTGACATCAAGGTAACTTATTCAAGAAGAAAGGGTTTTAATTTCACAACTTTCTCTTTATTTTCATAATATTATCCAAAAAAAAATCATCACTATTCTTTTACATTCTCATGATTAAGCTTATAAATTACATTACCCAATTAAGTAATATTTAATGAAAATCAAATATGTTTAATTGATAATATATTTATTTGGCTTTAAAATTAGTTGTATGGAGTCTTTAATAGTATGCTAATATGATTAAAAATGCTGTTACAAAGTTTGCTAATTTTTCTTTCAGAAATTTTAAGAAAATAAGTAAAAATAGATTATGATGGAGTTTGAATTAAATTTTTTTAATTAACATTTTAACCAAGACCACTAAAACAGGTTTCTTGTGGATATCAGTAAACAGTTCACTTTTTATTTTGGTTATGCATACTTAGAAACCTACAAAATCTCACCTAACAACTCCCGCACTTATCTTTCCTATTCTTCTCGGATCCACGTGTTCCTAATCTGAATGCACATCCATCTATTAGTCAAATGTTTTATCAAATTGGGAAAATACAAACATATAGCTTTAATTTCCCTTAAAATTTATTACAAGCAAAAATATTAATGTGAATGTCAATGTAATATCATGCTTGAATAGTACATCTGAATAAAGTAGCCAAATATTTTAGTGTAAAATGGTTAAAATCCAGAAATATAGTTCTTTTGTAATCTAATGTGCCATACTAATGCATTGCGTAAGATGGAGATTTTTTTGATGCCATCATATTGGATACTCTACAGAATTTTTTTTTTAAACAGGATCCTTCTTTGTAAAGTACACAACTATTAATTTGCTAACTGGTTTTTTGATATCTTATACTCTAACGGCATCAAAACTTCTCAAGCGGATTAAGTTGTGGCCGAGTACCTTGAGTTTACTACATATGTCCAATGAGATCATCCTTACGATGGCGTCATCTACAGCCAAGGGTTATAAAACAGAATTATTCTTCAGCACAGGCAAACCACAATTGGATCAGCAATGACTAAGATCCTTAGGGACCCCTGGGTGCCGAGCCCCAGCGTCAGTCTAGAAGTGACCCCTGGGTGCCGAGCCTCAGCGTGAGTCGAGAAGTTGTTACCTCGGAGAGCACAGGAACAGGATGCTGTCTGCTTCAGGTAAGTAGATCATTTGTCCCTTGAGACGCAGGCAGCTGATCTCAGTGCCCGTCAGCTCATCCTCACATTCTAGCTTCTCCACATCCAGCAATCCTTCCTTTGAAAGGAAGAGACAGATATTCATGAGTGCCTTGCTCCCGACCTGACACGCCAGCACCCAGATGGGCGCCAACACTTCCTTTTCCCACCGTAAGGCAAAGCGAGTGCATGGGTTCTAAGAGCTGGGTGCCTTTCATGAGCTTTAATGAGGCAGCATCACATTACCTTGCTTCTCAACACGAAAACGGTATTGATGTGTGAAAGGATCCCATGGAAGCTAATATCAATATGAGGACGAACCAGAGAGAAAACGGATAACAGGCTGCAATTCCCAGGCTGGAGCTAGGTGAACAGAGAGCAGAGGGCAGTTAACCAGTGCAGATTTGGATGATCTTACAACACTAACTGTCGGATTAAACTGGCTTGTTGAGGTTGAAAATCAGAAAACCGCAATTATTTTGTAGAGAACTTATCTCAAAGCTATAGACTCCCATCTTGACTACGCAACTCCGTGAAATAGTTGCCAGAACACAAAACCGCTTACAGATTCAGAGGACAGTAGGCAAATATGAACTAATGCTAAAGAAACCTTTCCACAGAATAGAGATTTTTACCTTATTATTTGGGAGGCAGAGTGAAAGAGAGAAGAGGAGAGATGCAAATAAAGAAGTGTCTTTCATCTACCGGTTCCCCACTGGATTGAGCACAACAAGCTGGGCTGGGGGAGGTCTTAGCCAGGAGCAGGGGACTCCATCCACACAAGGGAGAGCTGTCCGTCTCTGCCTTCTGGGGTGCGGCAGCAGGGAGCTGCTTCAGAGACGGGATAGTGGGACTTGAACTGATGCTCTGATGTGGAGATGCAGGTGAATGGGAGAACGCTCCTTCTGTATCTGTTTGCCTCTCAAATAATACTAAACCATTATTATAATAATACAATTATAATAACATAATATAAATAATAACCATAATATAATTAATAAGTAATAATATAATTATAGTAAATAGATAAGCAAAAGCCCAAAGGCAGGTTGGCATAAGGTTAAATATACTTAGCTTGTGATTATAATTGTGTTATACAGGATGTGATGATCCACAACTCATCGTAAGAGGACTACATCATGGATGCCTGACATGTAGGAGTGGTATCTTGCAGGCTTTTGCCTCAGGCCCCAAGGATGCACACTGCCATCTTACCTGGGGGAGAACTCTGTAGATGGCATTGCCACACTGAGTGACCACGAGGTCCCGGTCAAATATGATATGAAAAGGGAAAGCTTTGCAGAAGGTGTATGGGCTGATGCGTGATTCCTGGGTACCGTTCTCTTCGAATCTGTCCAGGTCTTCGTAAAAATCCTCTTCCTTTGACTCTTTTTCCTCAATTAAAAATTGAGTGTGGTCGCATTCTTCATTTCTCTGTTGGATAACCTAGATATCAACAGGGGAGATGGCATCAAGGGCCTTTCACATCAAAGTATCTAAAGGTAAGACACTTGTATGAAGATGCGTACATCCAGAGGATTGCTTGTAAGAAATTACATATATGTATACACACACACATATGTTACAGATATGTTTATGCACAATTATCATACACGTCTAAGGCAGAATAACATTTCAGAACATTGCTCCATAAAATTTGAACTAGTTATTGGTAGTGAAACACAAATTTGGTATCCATTTCCCAGTAGCTCCCGTGGCCTCTTTGAAAGAACTAAGAAAAAAAGAAAGTTCCCCGTGCTGTGACGGGCCAGTTCTTATCAGCTAGGCACAGGAGTACTGTGGACAAGCTGCCAACAAGCCAGGGAGCACCATACATATATTTAAAAGCCACGCAAAAGAAATTACAGAGCAATATATCCAAGAATATAAGCAATGAGATTTGATTGTCTATCCACTGGCAAGTATTAAAAAACGTCACTACCAAGCTGAATAGGGCCTCTCAACCAGCACGGATGGGCAGGTCTTTTGACTAATTTTGCTGGAAGATAAACAGCCAATACATGTTAAAAAAAAAAGTATTAAAATATGTATTATGTGTTATTTGTTTCCAAAGCTAAATTCATCCTAAGGAACAACCTTATTTATAAAATGCTGTCCAAGGACTCATAATATATTACTGAAGTGCAAAACAGATTTTTTTCTTTGGACTTGAAGAAATTTTAAGTAGTGTGTCCTCTTACCAACCCTTTCTCAACTGGAGCCAGACTGGGGTGCTGCTCCTTTTTGATATTTTGTTCAAGAGTTCTCCGTAGTCTGCTCTAACTTCTAAAGAAAATCTCAAGAGCCATGCATGCTGTTGCATGCAGTCTTTTATGGCAAAATGAAGGTGCGATTATCCCCATAGCTGCCTCTCAGGGTTACCACGGAAATCGTATATCAGTGTTTCTTATTTACACATTTTTAAAAAATGTTTCCTCCATTATGGATAATTTTATTAAATCGTGGACAAAAGTTAAGGCCTAATCTTGATGTTCCATTGCTTTTGTTTTGAATAAAGAAACTGAATTATGAGGGCTCCATTTACTGATTAATTTTTAAATTCTACTTGTTTCACTTTGATCATTGTGGCAACACAAGTAAGTAGCTTTTCTGACGCTATTTCTAATGTCTCGTTGCCGTATCCTTTTATGATTTAATATAACATTTCCAGTGTGGTTCAAATCGACTCTCCGGACCTCAAGAGACTAAAACAGTGCCTGTGGAAAAAAAAAATCAAATATGCGAAAAACACTTATAAAATGCAAATATTATAGAAAATCTATACGTGAAGAAAACACTAGGAGAACTAAATATGGTATAAAGTGAGCCATTGCTTGAATTTTATGTCATGTCGGCTAAAGCAGTAAAGCTCCCATTCCAAAGACTGCAGGAACATAGTAAGAACAATTTTGGAGAGTTCTAATTTGTGTTTTTTTTTTTTTTTTATTTTCCCATGTACCTGTACCCTGTTGCTCCATTTAGTTAAAGGACTATAAACTTAACAGTACACACAGCATAGAGGAAGTCCCCAAAATAAACTCTCAGTGATCTAAGTCATGTGATTTTGATGTTAAAAAAAGAACTGGAAATGATAAAATACATGCTTTTTCCCCCCTGAATTCCAGTGAGATTCTCGTTCAGGAATAAACTGCAGTCTCCTTTCATCGCAGTTGTAACTTTTCAGCACTTTTGTATTGTATCACGGAAGGTGTGCGGTCATACTTTCCAGTTGTGGAAAAAGGACAGACTTGGACATCACCAGCAGGTGTCCCAGAAGTGACACCAACTCAGAAACAGACGAAATCATGACACCTTGTGTAACATGACCAGATCAAATCGAAGCAATTCTTTGCTGTTGTTATTGATTTAAATATTGCTATTTTTAAAGTTTCTGTAATGCTGTGCTTTTAAACTGTGTGATTTCTCTCCATGTGGAGGCACAACAGGAGTGATAGCTTAAAAAAAGTATACACACACACACAAAAAAAGGACTGCCTATCCATTCTGCCTTAGAAAAGGCAATTGAGGGTCCAGCGCTCAGCACCATGGCTCAACAGGTTCATCCTTTGTCTGCTAGTGCCAGCATCCCATATAGACACGGGTTCGTGTACCACCTGCTCCATTTCTGATGCAGCCTGGAGGAGCAGCACAGAATGGCTCAAGTCCTTGGGCCCCTACACCCGCATGAGAGACCTGGAACAATTGGCTCAGCTTCAAGCTTGTGGCCATGTAGGGAGTGAACTAATGAATGAAATACCTTTCTCTCTTTCTTTCTGTAAATCTGATCTGCCTTTCCAGTTAAAAATAGCCTTTTTTAAGGCAGTTGAAATCACGTATCGCTCTCTGTACTCAGACCAAAGTTAGGACTACTGCAGAAGGCTCTTGGGGCTGAAGATGCTGAGCCCTGGAAAAGCAGCTGGCTGGGAAGCCCCTTGCAGCTTGAGGTAGAGACAGGTGCTGCCTCTCCCATTGCTGCAGAATCCAACATGTGTCTCATCAACAGGAACACAACTGTTAAAGTAGCGGTCCTGGCTTCTTTCACCAAAGTAGCTTGATTTCAAAACAAAACAGAACATTCGGTCCTCAAGATGAGACATCTTAGATTTATTTCGGAGCAGACAAAAATTTCCACAGAGAAACATTGCCTGTAAATCAAGATGTAACCTTCTCTGAATGTGAAAACCCCAGTGGTAGTTCCTTTGCGGGGTGAAACCCCCACACGGGAGCCACTCACATAGGCCCCTGCTTCCCAGCTATGGGGTGCCCACAGGGAATGTAAACCAAACTTCTTGTGGCATTCAGTACTGAATAATTAGAAAAATCTGCTGCCTATATATATATATATATGCATTTTCTCGATAATGTATAGTGAGCCCAACTATACAAGCCTTTTATAGCACTTCTACTATATACTAAGTACTTCTACTGCTAGGAGTTTATGTATGAGGGCTGCTGTCAGTGGCAACTAAAGGTACATACGCAGCAATTTATTTCGGACACTTTCCCGAGCGTCCCCCGCCCGTTAAGATCTCTGTCCATTACCTTCATGTCTATTTCGGTGCCATGTATTTGTTGCGCCACCGTTTTGATGATCCCGATGACAATATCCTGAAGCCCTTCTCTCTCGGAATAGTAATGGAGGATGAGTCCTCTGCCCTTGTCCGCGTCCGTGCACCTGAAGGAGGGAGCCCGCATCCCAGGGTAGATAGTGGCAAGGTGGTCGTGCAGAGCATCAAGATTCTGCAACGGAGAGCACAGCGGGTTAAAGAAATCATTTCTCTGCAGTGATGGTAGACTTGGGGAAAGCCAGCCACAAATGGGCAGGCCAGCAGAATAAACATTCACATTACACAGCCTTCCTTTGCCATACCCAGATATCTGCAAGGCAAGGACCAGCGAGAAGCTGGAATTAAAATAGCATCCTTACGAAAAAAGAAAAAAAATCTGTAACTATTCATAGTACATCTCAAAAAGGGATAAACAAGATGTAAAAAAAATGCCTGAAGCAAAAAGTTTTAAAAATGCATACAGTGACGGACTAATGTAAGAGTTTGGGGAAAGTTGCATATTGTGTTCTGTGTTAAACAGCAGGGAATGCCCAAGGTGTCCACGTACCATGTTCCTGTTCACAGTACAATTCTAAACGTAATTGCTAATGCAAAAATGTGTGTCAGAGTCGTGAGCAGAGGGAGACACAGACATACAATGTCTGAATTCACATCTTACCAACTAACACTAGACTTCAGAAATAAAAGCAGCCTAATGTCTTCGTGTTCATTTAGCAGTCTCCGATCAAGATCGTTCTTTGGCAAGCCCATGAGATACTCATAATTATCTTCATGTTAGAAGAACAATACATTGGCTACAAATAAATCATTCTCTCTTCATGCAGCCTTATTGTTAACTCGGGAAATGCCAAGTCCTCGAGGCTCCCACATGCTTTGTATCTACAGACATATATATCCGTAATGGCTTTGGATAGTATCAATGAGGGAGCCAATAACGGGAGCTGAAGAAATGAATCCAAAGACTCCACTGTGAAATCCAGCCTGGCTGATGCTGAACAACACACATGAATTCCTCCTGCCTGCCTCTAGAGGACGCTATTGCAATGCGAAAGTAACCCGACCGGCGGGCCTGCCAGCGCAGGGTAAAGTTTACATAACCTACAAAGACTCCTGAAACCCCAGGGTTATTTCGGGTGGTGGAAGGGTGTGAGAGCTTCTTCTGTGACAAATTCTTTTCATGGGAACTCTGGCCTAAGAAGGGAGGAGTGAGGACTGTTCTTTGCAAACCTTCCAGAATGCCTTACAAAACTGATGTGAAAAGCTTGAGGCAACCTGGTGAGAAGAAAAACAATCACCCAAAAGAGATTTACTTTGATCTCTTTTACCACACGGAAGACTCCAAGGAGAGATGTGGCTGCACACGGGACATTTTCCCAGCACAGGTAAGCCCAGCTTGGAGCTGTGGACCACTTAAAAGTGAAAAGCGTTAAAAGTGAAAAGAGAATGGAAAAGTGAAAACCGAGTCAGAAGTTAAGTCAAAATAGGCCTCATATTTTTTTCATTCTTTCGTAAGTCACCATGTTTATAGCACGTTCACACCCACTATTTGCATCTTGTGTCATTCTGTGCTATTAGCCCTTTTCCACACGGAGGCAAGAAGAGCTATCCCAGGGCTGCAGCAATTGCAACAAACTACCACTTCAGGGGCATCGTTGGTGCCAGGGTAGGATAGACTAGACCTATTGCTTGGGCCGTGTCACCTTGGATTGCTAAAGACTGGCCTTGCAACCTCAATGTGGGCAAACCTATCTAAATTTAACTCAAGGTATAGATGATATTACACCATGAATATTAACAACAAAACACAAGTGATGTTTCTGAAATGCATCTTTTCGAAGCCAAGTAGGATTTTTTTTATTAAAATGTCCATTAAGAATGTTCATCTTTCAAGTCTTTTTGCGGTAACCAACTCCCCCAAGATTTCCTGTTTTATTGAATTTGCTATTAATTAGGTGGACAAGTAAAGTGCTTCCTCACAGCATGAAAGATTTAAAACCACTTAATGTACTATTGATTTTCTTTAGATAGTATCTAAAATGAAAACCACTCCTGGGATTTCTTTAGTTACAGATTCCCTTGCTTGAGTTTGCTCTCTCAAGACTAAAGTGATTACCATAGGCTGCCTGTCACAAGAAATGGGATTAGGGATGAAAAATTAAATTATTCCCATTGGAGTACATGGTGAACAAAAAAGTGCCATGTTCAAACTTATACTACAATTGTTTGCAGCAACCGGAGAAGGCCACTGAGGAACACCTAAAATAGCCAAGAGAAAATATTTTCATATTTAATGAGACATCTTTTAAAATCTCATGAAAAAAAATGCATATTCTAAAAAAATGCACAGTTTTCAAAATTTTAGCAAAAATATAAAATTATCTTTTAATTAATGAACTCTTTGAAATATCCTCATAATATCTAAACAAAGTTGATTATTCACTCACATGGTAATAGCAAAATTCTGGGAGACGAGTTTTATGTTCAAATTGATATTCTGTTTCATTTCTAAATATATACATAGGAGGCTAGTATTGTGGTGCAGTGCACTGGGTCAGGGCCTGCAATCCCAGCATTTCATGTAAGTGCTGGTCCAAGCCCTGGTTGCTCCACTTCCTATCCAATTTTGTGCTAATGTGCCTGGGAAAGCAGGCGGAGATGGTCCAAGGCATTTCGGCTCCTGGCACCCATGTGAGAGATCCCAATGTAGCTCTCTCTCTCTCTCTCTCTCTCTCTCTTGCTTGTTCCCTCATTCTGTTCTTCCCTATCTGTAAGCCTGCCTTTCCAAATAACAGCAGATAGATTATTTTAAATGAATTAATAAATAAATAAATCCATTCATGAATGACCATATGGAAAGAAAAGCCTGCCATGGCCAATTGCAAGAAGTATATATAGCCATGCATGTAAAGAGAACAGGTCTGGAAAAAAGGATGGAAACACACATGTCACAGCAAGTATGGATTCCCAAGAAACAACCAAGCGCATTTCAAGTGTGTTTCTATTTGTTCTTCTTAGCTCCATCAACTTGGAAACTTGAAAAGTCATACACAGCTGACCCATCCATGTGGTTTACACAAAATGGCTATTCCGAGGTTCTAATGTCATTATCTAACATTTTGGTTAAGTTATATACAAGAAAGTGGCCATTTTCAAGTTTCAAGATAAAAGAAACTTTCAATGACCTAAATGAAGTAGAAATCCAAACAGCAGGTATTAGAATTACCAAAGTAAGTATCTTAGGAGCGGAACAGGAACTTTATGCTCCCCACCCCCTTTCCTGCCTTTTCATCAAGAGAAATAAATCACCCCTTCAAATGAAAAAGACACAGATGATTTTTTAAAACAAACATGATGGAAACCTTATATGCTCGGGTCGGTGCAGTAGGTGTGGATGACTCAAAGGTGTGAAGAAAACAGCTCCCCTGCTTGGCAGGGCCCAGGGGAGCTTCCATCTGTTTGGCAGGGTCCGGCAGATTTCTCTCTGACCACCTTGACACAGTCTCACCCCCTGTTTGCGTGGACACTCGAGCACCCCACTAAGAATTCTGTAATCTACTGAGGCATGGTTGTTTGCTGCCCGTGAGATAGTTTTTGTAACTGATATAAACTTGGGAGTTAATGTTTTTGATAATGTCTTGGTGAGTGTACCTTTAACTGCGCACAGGAATACAATTAAACTCATGCCATTTCTGGACACCTTATCGTGTGCCTACCCATTGCCCTGAAATCTGACCCAGACATATAACATGCCTTCTGGGAAATGGCTTGATAAGAATTTTACAAATGATTGGAAGTGATGGGAGTATGAACTGAAACTGCTATGGCAAAAAATACAGTTACTGTGACCCTAAAGGCTATCCTGCTATGGCAAAAAAAATATAGTTACTGTGACCTTAAAGGTCAGCCTGTCCTTGAAACTCTTTAGAGCATAGAAAATGTAGTCATTTTAGCTGCTTTCATAATTTTTTAACTAGAGGAAAGAAAGGGAGATTTTACTAACAGCATAGAGATGTACTTTGGATTATTGTCTGATTGTTTATGAGGTTGTAGAGCCTGTAGTTGTAGGGGGATTTAATGTTTGAAACTTTTTGTCCTATCATTATGGTTTTTTTTCCCCCCTTTGGGTCTATTTCTCCCATTAAGTGATACATACGTATCTTTATCATTACAATTTTTTTCAAGAAAAAGACTCTCATTAAGGAAAAAAGGAAATAAATAAGTATACCTATGTGAGTATTTTCCTATTGTAATGCTTTTCAATTCATCCTAAAAAAGGATCCCGTCTGTACAATAAATACATTTGCTAATTATTTTTTTAAGATTTTGAGGACATGGGAATTCTTTACAAAATAAGTCTTACAATTCTAAATGATTCTTTCTGCTCAAGGTTTCAAAATTTTTTATTTATCAATCGATTTTCACTTTCTTTGAAAGGCAGAGACAGAGAAAACAGACAGTGATTTCCCATTTGCCAGCTCACTCCCCTAAATCCTGTAACCAGCCACGATGGGCCGGTCCAAAGTCAGGAGCCTGGAACTCAGTACGGGTCTCTGATGTGGGTGATAAATGTCTCGGACTGGATTCTGCTGTTTGCACAGGATACACAGTCGCAGGAAGCAAGGGCAAAAAGCTGAGGGTCGGAGACGGATCCCAGCCCTCATACAGGGATGTGTAAGTCCCAAGTGGTGACTTAGAGCTGCACCAAACCCCTGCTCTCCAAGAAAGGATTTTAGAACCAAGCTAAATCCCCATTTGCCAAATTTAAAATTGCAGGCTATAGAAACTGCATTTCAGATGCTGAAAAAAAAAACCCACCAGTTCTTCTGAAATTCAAAAGCTAAAAATAAACTGAACAGTGCATTTTTCTAAGAAATATAAATAATTTAGGGAAGTATTAGACTTTTACAGCTGTTCAGGAAAACCCTCATGTTTCCCAAAATAACATTTTGGACAAACAGTGAAGAATCAGATCAGTCTCCAAACCCAGATTGCTCCTGGTGGGCTAGCCAAATCGCAATGTCGTCTTTTATAAACCCAAATCTGGAGCCAAGAAGAATAGAAAAAAAAAAATCCCACTGAAAACTGAACAGAAGTGCTGCTTCAGGAACTTGAATACATGCAAATCGAGGGAATGCATGAAATTGCCAGTGTCTCAAGATTCACCGAGGGAAACAGTGAGTTCAGCAGACACTGAATGCTGGGATACTCAACTGAGGTCTCAACACATTCAAACAGGCTCATAATTGAAAACTGACCTCTCGCAATTGCATTTTGGACTTTAATGTTTTAATAGTCGATCTGAATGTCTTGGGTGTTCACCTTGTTTGAAAAGTTATTTATTAGTTTTATTTCAAAGACAGATTTATACAGAGAGAAGGAAAGGCAGACAGAGAGAGAGAGAGATCTTCCATCTGCTAGGTCATTCCCCAAATGGCTATAATGGCCAGAGGTGGACTTGTGTGAAGTCAGAAGGAGCTTGGAGCCACTTCCAGAAACTCCCATGTAGGTAGATGGGCTTAAGGCCTGGGCTCTGTTCTGCTGCTTTCCTTGGACACATTATCATGGAGCTGGATGGGAACTGGAGCAGCCAGGACTTGAGAACTGGTACTCATATGGTAAGCCAGCTCTGCAGGCAAGGCTTGACTTATTTTTCATCACAGCACCAGACCCGATGTTCATTTTAACTTGATTTCTAACTCTTTAAAATTGTTGGAGAAATAAAGAATATATGATAGTAATATAATATCACTGAAAAGAAATTGGTTACCCTAATTTATGTTGACTTGGCTTCCATTCCGAGAATTTAAATATTATTAACTATGACCTACTCTAAGTTCCTGACTCCTTGCACAATTGAATACATGCATATTAATGTATTAATGTCAACTAATAACCTAAAGGGAATGATATTCCACTTACCCAGTACTGGGTATCAGATCATCCCAAAATGCACTAGTTAAAATAAGAATTTCGTTATTATCTTGCTTGGCATTATGGGTTGGCTAAGGCAGGGATTTCTTTGCTGGATTGAGTTCCAATGGACAGCAAGGCCACAATCATCAGGATACCACAGTAGTGTGGCTCTCCAAGTTGAATCAACCCAGTGGGATGCTAAGTGTCACTGGCTCTCTGCTGGGAGCTGGGCACTGTTGCCTGAGGGTCTAACACAGCCTTTCCGTGCGGTCTGTGCTTCTCATGTCATATCAAGGGAGCACCCAAAGAGTACTATCCAAGCTCCCGAGGACGATGCCCATGAGCAGGTGTCTCCAGCCTGACCCAGCCACCCTGTGAGGTCATCTGGGGAATGAACTAGTCAATGGAAACTCTGTCTCTCTTGCTCTGTGCTGCTCTGCCTTTCAAATAAATAAAAAACTTCTTTCAAAAAAAATTTTTGAATCATATATAAAATTTCCCAAGGTAAGAGTTATATTAGCCTAATAAATTATCCTAAGAAAACCTTTAAAAAGGAACACACACCCTACCATATACCCCTACGCACTTCAGAATAATTAATGTACTGATTCAGACTCTACTGACCGCCTACATGCATAATACATGCTGTGTCTGGTACTAAGAATCTGTAACACATACATGTGTCATATATGTTATATATAGATGATATATTTCATATACATATGTAAAGGAAAGCAAAAAAGGGGATTTATATGCACACAGGAACTGTTTTTTTTTTTAAAGATTTAATTATTTTTATTGAAAGAGACAAAAAGAAAGACCTTCCATCTGGAGGTTCACTCCCCAAGTGGCCATAATGGCTGGAGCTGAGCCAATCTGAAACCAAGGACCAAGAGCTTCTTCTGGTGAGACACCTGGGTGCAGGGTCTCAAGGTTTTGGGATATTCTCTCCTGCTTTTCCAGGCCATAAGCAGGAAGCTGGAAGGGAAGTGGAGCAGCCGGGACATGAACCAGGGCCCATGTGAGATCCCAGGACTTGCAAGGTGAGGATTTAGCCATTGAATCATCATGCCTGATCCAAGATGTGTTATGCACAACGTATCCACATATCCAAGTAAGACTCTGGGCAGAGATGATTCCAAGAAGTCCACGTTGGTGTGATGAATGACATGGAGTGATAAAGCTAGAGCAGAGTCAAATAACCTCCCAGGTTATGATTTTGGTAGCTATTTTATTGTTCCCTGTCAACTTTACATCGAAATGTTAAAACGGATATTTTTAAACTGTCAACAGATATGAGCAATTCTCCTTGTAAATTCAATCCTGACTAGTAATTTTCCTGTCGACACGAAAAGGCAATTGGACTAGCCATGGGTCTCTTCCTTTCTATTTCAACGTATGTGTCAAACTGAATTATTCTTCAAGGAGAATTCATCTCAAACTATTCGTGTGTTTGGTTTCTGTTTTTTTTTTTTTTAAAACAACTATCATTTTTAAAAAGACAGTTACACTTTGCCACAGATAAAAATTGTCTGGAGAGACACAGTCATTTAGGGTATGTGTGGGGGTCTCTGTGGCCTTGGTTTACATTCCAGCCCAATAAACAGGAAATGACCCTGCAGTGTGAGAACTCCTGTGGCTGTGAAATAGTGTGCAAGGAAAACACGAGGATGGCCAATTTCCCTGGCTCCAGTAAGGCAGACAAGGGAGACAGTGGTGGGGTCTCACTGGCACAAGTGATTTGATCTGCAGGTTGAGTGGGCTTTTTCTACGTGATTGAAGGAACTGGCCAGGCAGAGGGAAATCTTTCATGGTGTTTTAATAATTTATGGAAAAATATCAATTTTTATACATGCCATAGTATTTTAAAGCAGTTCATAAAAACCAACTGTTTTATTTGCCATAATGAAAAAGAGCATTTAATTTTTATTTAATTAGCCTGGTCAAAAAATTATATTTATATTTATATATATATATATATTTACTCATAAGAAAATAGTGACTTAACATATTCAATTCACCATTAACAGACCATTTTAAAACCAAGGTTGGAGGATAATATAAAAGTTGCACAATTAAAACCATGCTGGTATTAACTAAATTTTGTGTAGCCCACTACATCCAAAATACTACCACTTTAAAATAAAATAATATTAAATTTATTAATGATTAGTTTAGAATTCCTTTTTAAAAATCTAGACTTATTTATGTACTTAAAAGGAAGAAACACAGATAGTGAAAGTTAGAGAAAGACACAAAGAAACAGACCGATCTGCTGGTTCACTCCCCGTTGGGCTGGCTAGGCTGAAGGCAGAAACCCAGATCTTGTTCCAAGTCTCCCATGTGACTGGCAGGGATTCAACTCCCAGCAGCCATCACTGGATGCCTCCCAGGATCCATATTGTTCAGCAAGTTGGGACTGGGAGCATAACCAGGATTTGAACCAGGTACTCTGATATCCAGACAACCTGAGCTGTGTTAACCATCATGTCCGACACTTGTCCCTTACGTTCTTTCTGCACTGTCTTTGGAATGTGGAATATATTGCCCCTGACAACCCATTTTCTTTCCAGTAGGCAGTAGCCTCAGGTTTGGTGCCTGTCATACCAGACAGCATAGCACTAGAAAGGACAGAAAAACTCCTCAGAGAATGCTTGCTCCCCAGCTGTGCCATAGCCAGCTTAACACAAGATTGCAAAGAGCAGATTTAAAACAGAAAAACAAAACCATCGAGGGGAATATTGCTTTGATTATGTAGTTACGACCATTGAGAGAGAGAATTAAGTCCCAGCTATGAAAAAGCTGAAGCTTTGATGACAATGGTCAACCAAAGAACTAGAGAAAAGTGGAATAGGTACTTAAACTTTTCAACTAATAAACTGTAATCAATTATAAATGATCTATTTAAATACCAGCTGTTCCGTTTTAAGTCTCTCCCTGCAACTACTTCATTTTTTTTTCCTTCTCTGACAGCAGCAGTTTAGTAAATACATGGTGGGAGATTGCAAACCAGTTTCCATCTTGATTTAATGCTGTTTTAAGTTTATAAGAAAAATGTCACTGTGTAAACAATAGACATTTTGATTAAACACTAAAGTTCTTATTTTGGCTGTTAAATCAATAATGCAGCTGGATTGAAAGTAGTTTACATTCCCACAGAGCTGGGCTCTGGCTCAGCTAGTATTGCGCTGACATCATTCTCCAGCAAGATCTGCCTGCTTTCAGCAGCCGGTTTGGAAATATCCTTTGCAAACAACTACATAATTTTCAGTGTTAACACATTTCAAGAAGAGGGTCTTTACAAATTCCAGTGCTTAAAATAGTAACAGCCGTCCAGAAATAGCCTCGCATCTAATGTGTAATTTGCTAGCTAAAATGTGGAAGGTGAATTTGCTAAAGTGCAAGACAAAGACCTCTTTTCACATCACCTATCTTTCCTTTCCTTTTTTTTTTTAACCTGAAACTATGGTTGGAAGATTTTTCCTGTTTCCCTTTTTACAGATTAATTAATATGCAACTCACGGCAACAGTTCTGAAATTCATTGTGATGGCAGAATGGCTGATGCCTTCCATCAACAAGGAATTCCAGGTAGAAAATCATAAAGGACTGACATACTGCACCCATTACCCTGTACAAACTAGAACCCTGGTTCCCTGTTGAAACCACACCACAACCACTGGCATACCCATGAAAGGAAGTTGAACAGAACACAACAGGCCATGTGGTTATTTTGAGAGACCATTAACTTGTGACATATACATTCCGTATCAGCATCCAGATGTTTTATATATTTATATACATTATGCATATATATAGTAAAGATGCTAAAATTTGTTCACAACCACCCAACAACTATGATTATACTTGAGTTAGAAAAGGCTTGCTATGACGCCATGCCAGCATTCCAATTGTTCAAACAAAAACATCCCAAAACCTACCAGGAAAAGCCACAAAGTCTGACTCTTGTAGACAAAACCCCCAGGTGCTTACCTGTAAAAACTCTCTCACATTAGATCCCAGGACACGCAAGATGGTGTCATAACCGGATTCTTGACAGAAGACGAAAAACATCTTCCCGAACATTTGGAGGATCTCTCCAGCGTTGAGATCTAGTTTAACAGGTTTAAGAGAAATTGAGAGAGACAGAGAGAGATGTGAGATCAGACAGAGAAACAGGCAGAGAGAAAACAGCACGTATTAAAAGTAGAATATTGGGGGCCTGGCATGACAGCTTAGTGGCTAAGTCTTTACGAGTATCCCACACAGGTGCTGGTTCACATCCTGGCTGCTCCACTTCCCATCCAGTTCCCTGCTTATGGCCTGAGAAGGCAGAAGAAGATGGCCAAAGACCTTAGGATCCTGCACCAACTTGGGAGACCCGGGAGAGTCTTCTGGCTTCAGATTGATTTGGCTCTGGTCATTGTAGCCACTTGGGGAATGAACCTGCAGATGGAAGATCTTTCTCTCCATCTCTCCTTCTCTCTGTAAATCTGCATTTCCAATAAAACAAATAAATCTTTTTTTTTTAAGATAGAACATTGGGGGAGGAAAAGAGAGAGGGAATATCATTTTGTTCTTATAACTGCATCTGTAGACCATATTAAATCTGTTTCATTAAAAATTTAAAAAGCAATACATGAAAAGATAAGTGGAACAAGTATAATATTAAGGATTTTTAAAATTATGTTTATTTATTGGCATATTTATTTGACAGGGCCGCACAGAGAGAAGAGACAGGGAGAGTGTACCACCTCATTAATTTCCCCACATGGCTGCAATGGCCAGAACTGGCCAAAGCCAAAGCCAGGAACTTCATGTGGGTCTCCCACGCAGAAGCAGCAGTCCAAGGACATGGTTCTCTTCTGATGCTTTCCCAGGCACATTAGCAGGGAGCTGGATTGGAAGTGGCTCAGTTGAACATGAATCAGTGTGCCCTTGTGGAAAGCCAGTATTGCACACAATGGCTTAACCCACTGTGCCAAAGCCAATCCCACATTTACAATATTGTTCATGTAAAGATGAAGACACTAAGTGTGTATAAAAATTGGAAATCTTGTGCAGAATTAATCTTTCATATTAAAGTATCCTGGCCAAGACAATACAAAGAAAATGGAGCAGGGAATGCTAGTAATATGTCAATTGAGTGGATTTGTAGTTAGAAGCAAAGCAATTGATTTCTCAGCTTCCTTGATAAATGACATCAATTTCTAGATTCTTAAAGCATAAGTTCAATTTAATATTTTTTCTGAAAATTAAATTGCAAAAATCATCAAAATTGCATAAATGGTATTTTGGTACAAAACAGCTCTTTTATAGAAATGTGGGTATTTAATAACATGGTTGCATTTGTAACATGAACTATAATGGTCCTCTTATTCTTAATTTTTATATAAATTTTCTGTAGTAGCTATATCACATTATTCAATATAGGAAGAATTCTAGAATTTATTTCACCACTTCTTTATTATTTAAAAATACATGTTTTCAAATTTTTGATAAAATAAGCAATTTTGACATGCCACATACAAATTTTAATGCAATGCGATCCGACAATTTCTTTAGAAGAAATTCCTAAAATGTTTGAACATTTTTAAAAAAGAATTTGATGATGCATATTTTTTTCCCAAAAGTTCTATCTGAACTTACCATCAGAGCATGTAGCTAGTAAAGGGGTTCATTTCTAAACTCTGCCAAATGTAAATGAAGAAAAATCATATTTGCTTTAATTTTGAGTATTAAGGAGGCTAAACATTTTGTTATTAGCAACTATTTATCAAACTTTTTTTCATAAATCTTATGTTCAGATTTGCTTTATTCAACTCTAGCCATGCCAGACGTCTCATTTTGTTCTGTTCACATTACAGTCTTGTTATAAATTCTGTGTTATGAGAACATCACACATTATGCATTCTTCCCCGTAGAACTTTCTGCACTTGGACTTTTCCAGCAATGAGCTCTGTCTGCTCAGTTTCTTGCTTCATTTACCAGTTGCTAATGTAACTTGTGATTGCAACAGAGGCTTGAAGATAATATCTTCTTGTGTATTTACTGTATTATTGACACCATAAGAAAAAAGCTTGTCAACCAGCAGCATTTTCATCCTTCCCATGAACAGCTGTCTGTAAGCAGGGGCAAGGAGAATGTTGTCTCTCTTCTGTTTTTCCAAGAGCTTGTAAAAAGAATAGGGCCTGGCAAAACTTAATGCAATGCAAACAGTACGCAATATAAAACATGACATGCAAATGCCCTCTTCATCGGGATTTCTGCTGTGTACACCTTACAGATCCCTCAGTTGTGACCCTGAACTACATGCCTTCTTCGAGTTTCTCAGTGTAACTCGGACAAAAAGAAAAGCTACATTCAACTTACTCAGGACTCTGCTTGCAGCAGCGACCAAGTCATAGGTTTTGGAATCATCGTATATTATTCTGACAAGAAACTGTCCTTCTTCATCTAACTGTGCCTCTTTTCTGGAAAACAAAAGTGGAAAAGAGATAGAAAGGAAGCTGAAATAAAAGGGTTAGCACAAGCTTGGATGACTGCACAAATAGTAGTTTTACATTCAACATGGATTTTTTTTTTAATGTCAATAAAACCACATCAAGTCCCTAAAATGTGATGATTGACAAAAATCATGACATAAACCATTTTCCAAATTAAAATAACATATTTAACAATATGTTGGCATACTAACATTTATATAATTTGCCAATGCTTGATAAAATATATGACATCAAATGTACTCAAGAAATATCTCTGTTTTCATAAATGCGCAGCAAACGGTTCTTGAGTCCCTATATGAACCAGACATTTTTCTAGTAAAGGAAGAAACATTTTATGAGTAAATTGGACAAAGACCTTTGATCTCTTGAAACATATATATTCCAGGAGAGGAGACAGCCAGCTCATAAAACTCGTTATTAACATGCCATCGAATGAAAGAAAACAAGACGGAAGGGGCGGGGAGCTTAAAGACAGCAATCATGAAGGTCCAACTGAGTTGTAGTCTTTTGAACAGAGTCTGAAGCAGTTCAGAGAGTAAGCCATGAGCTGTCTTGGGAAGCTGTGTCCCATGCAGATGGAAGAGCAGGTGCTATGGATCAGTCAAGGGGCATGCCTGGAGTACTGTAGGAAGAGCAGAGATCAAAGTAGCTGGCACAAAGAGTGAGACATAGCTACTAGAAAACGAATCAAACATGTGAAAAGAGACCACGATTGGTAGGCCTGGATGGGCACCGTGATGGCTGTTATTCAGCTAAAAAGGATGATTTTAACACTTGTCATATGGGCACTGACTCGAACTGACATAGATTAAAGGGTTTGTCATGTCCTGCTTCTGCATTGAGAGTAGACCAACAGGGTGGAAGACAGAGAGAAGAGACCCATTAGGTGGTTCCTGCTAACACTCAGGTTAGAAATGCTGATGATCTGGTAGACAGGGCAACAGAATGGTGGCAGGTATTGTTTCAAAGCCTGATCTGGACTGAAGGTAGATTCAATATTTTTTACTTTCAGATTGGACAGGGGGTGTGAGAACTCAAGGATGACATGTTTTTTGGGCTTGAGCAGTTAGAAGGCTGTTGTCACCAGTAGCTGAATTCAGAGAGACGGTCGGGTAGACTGGGATTAAGATCAAGAGTTCTCTTGTAAACATATTAAGTCTGGAATGTCTTTAAATATATCAAGTTTGAGATGCCAAATGGACTGATAAAATCTTCAAATATATCCTTAGCTTATTAAACTCAGGGGCTCAAAATACACAGTGGATTAGTGAAAAGAAATAATGGTTATCATGTTTAGTAGTTGTGATGATTCCAGAAATATATTTCTTTGCACTGACAGGATTTAGATTACTTTTCTCAAAGTGTCCAAAAGGGAAGGGGAACTCATGGTTCAAACTGTGCCCTCGGTAGGAAGGGACTGACCCAGGGCCCCAATGTCTTTGTCAGTGTTGAATTCACTGAAATTGATGGAGCTTAGCTATCAATTGTTGAGTCCCAATCCAACCCCTATAAATCTCTATGCTACTAGGAGAACACAAGAAAAATTGGCCACTATAATTAGGTGAACTTTTAACACATCGGCTCCAATAGCTTCATAAATGGTGTTGAGGCAAGTCCTGGTCCATCTCTTCCTTCAGAAACTGCTGCTGCTCTCTGCTGCTACTGAGGGCCACGTCTGGGTCCACTCGGGGAAATTTTCAAGCAATAGCCTGTCTTTGGTCACCATTGTAAGATGGAGACATTCTTAGAAAGATCTTATGTTTTCAAGATACCACTTAGTTGTATGCAGCTATGTAGAACAGTGCATGTAACGAAAAAGATAGCCCACCTTTTCAATAACTAAACACAGATATCCAAAAATTATGACACTAAAGTGAGCAAACGTTGGCTCAACCTTGGAAAAATGGTACAATCCATTTTATACATGTCAATTCCTAATTGTAATCATCATCTAAAATGCTGTGAAAGAAGAAACATTTAAGAAAAAAAAATCTTGCAGCATGCTTGGCACTGAGCTTAATGGTCTCTAGTTGGTTTAAAGTTGAAAGTCACAGCTTAGTGGTACTAAGTGGAGACTGAGGCCAATGATAATGCTTGGGATAAGAGCCCAGCGAGAAGTCTTGAGGGCAATGGGATTGTGATCTCAAAAGGTGGCTATCGCCAAAGGCTTGATTACTAATGCCTGGGTCCAGTCTGGTCACTCACATTACTATGTCCACTTCTTAAAAATCTAATAGGATTGCTCTACAGATAGTAATTTTGTAGCCTCTGATTTTAAGACATGCTAAAAATACAGGTATGTTTTAATTAAATACATAATACAGTAAAACCTAAATCATACTTTCACCATTCCCCAATCATTTTCTTTCAATTAGAGTAAATGAAATCACATACATTTCTGTAAAAACGTAATTCAGTTTCCATGCAATGTTCTTTCCAATTTGTGAGGAAGGAATGGAATATGTTTTCCTTCTACATAAAGTGGAAGAACAGCCGTCCTCTGAAGTTCCCTGCCTCAACGCATTCCTTCTTGCCTCTTTTTTTTTTTAATGGAAATATATTTCCTTATCTGCTGAGCTTTCTTTTTGATGTGATCAGCTTCAACATGCTCCCTGGAGAAGGACTAAACTAAACATCCGTAAACTAAACAGCAGTACATAGAAGGAAATAATCATCTCTGTTGAAGCATTTCACAGTGGTGCTGGTGCTTGGTGCGGTACCTAAGATGCCCCTGATCTCCATCAGAGACCCTGACGTGAGTCATGGCTCTTCCGTTTCTAATTCAGCTTCCTGGGTTGTGCACCTTGGGAAGCAGCAGCCATTGGTTCAAGTATTTGGGTCCCTGCAACTCACAAAAGAGATTTCCAGCTCCTGACCATGATTTGGTCTATGTGTGCCTGTTACCGGCATTTTGGAGGTGAAATAAAAATTTCTCTATCTTTCTCTGTTTCTTCCCTGTTCTCTGTTGCTCTTTCAAATAAAGTGAAATATTTGTATGTGTGTGTATAGAGAAAACACTGAACAATTCAAAATATTTAGAGCTAGTTATTTACACTTATTTTTGAACTATCCAGGAATGTTGGGCTGCTGATGCTGTGTCTTGTTTTACAAAAAATATTTGGATATCTATTATATCCCAAGCACTTTCTTAAGGACTCCTTGTAGATCAGTAAGTGGCATAGATAAAGATTCCTACTCTCATAAAACTTAGACTCAGGGGTCAGTATTGTGATACAGTGTGCTAAGCTGTCATCAGCAGCACATATGGATGCTGGTTCAGATCCCCTCTGCTCTACTTACAACTCCCTAATAATGCACCTAAGAAAAGAGTGGAGGACGACCCAAAGGCTTGGGCCCTTGTGCCCACATGGGAGACCCAGATGAAGCTCCTGACTTTGGCCATTTGGATAGTTAATCAGAGGATGGAGGATCTCTCTGTGTCTCTCTCTCTATAAGTCTGCTTTCAAATAAATAAGAATAAAAAAAGTACTTTGTAGCTTGCAAAAACATGCAATAAGCAGAATGTACAACAAAATTGCACAATATGAAGTGAAAATGTTATAAGTAAAAGCAGAGAAGCCTGAAAGCAGGGAACGTAGCAAAAAGGGTAGGAGGCAGTGCTAAACTACCTCAGCGTAGGTACGGGGGGAGGCAATATCCGAGTGGTTTTGAGGAAGTACAGTTTATCTCTGTCTTCTGTCACCAGAGCTGTCTGGAAACACTTCCCTTCTCTCTTTAGCTACTGCTCATCTTTCCTGATAGCGAGGGGACACTGGAATGGGAAGTGGTTTCACACACTAAACTAAGAAGGAGCGTGACAGATTAAAATCCAGCAGAAGGCTTTCCAGGCAGTGCGGGCAGGAAGCTGGTATAAAGTTGGCAGCCACAAAGCCTTCTCTATGGGCGCTTACGACTCCACACTACTCCTCTCTACCTTTTAGTCCTGTTTGTGTTGGGTCAGGATTCACTCTGCCCAGTGCTTTGGCTTCCAGCAGCCCAGAGATGCGATGCTGACCTTTCACAGTGCTCTGGGAAATGCACCTGCCACTTTTCTTGCGGGGAATACATTTCCCCACACTTCATCTACTACATGAGAGCACAGAGGATTTCCAACACAATATGAAACGTGAGGATGTAAGCTAATATTTAGATTACACCAGCAGCTATTGATGCAAATCTCCATTCCCAATGCATTGTGACCCTACAGGTTGAAAGGATTTTTTATTAAAAGCATATACATATTATTTCTAACAACTTATGAATTGTTTTCATGATACATGCGTTTCCTTTGGGCTTAAATTATCCAAAATCAGCCATGTGCAGGAACCAAATGTCTCAGACTCTCTTCCAGAATTATTTTTGTTGCATTATTCAACAATCTTACGTAATTTCCTTGTTATTTAAATTGTACTTAGTACACATGTAAGGAAAACCGTAGGTTTCACTGAGACACATGATAATTAAAGGAGAACTGTGGCACACTTATATTTTTTTCAATGATTTGGTGATTACAAAAATTGCCACATGAAGCACAGAAAAACTGGATTAAATTTATTTTAATAGCCTTCATTTATCAGATAATTCAGTGGTACTGTTATTATCATGTGCTGTACTTTGTGTTGTATTGTCTGTCGATTTTCATTATTATTATTATCCTTAGTTTAAAAAAAATTTTTAGCTGACCCCAAATTAACATAGCCTTCTATTATTTTCAAAAGATATAACTAGAGAAATGTCTCACCTGTATATACCAATATCACTCTAATGCATTAAGGATTAAATTAATCAATAAGAGATATTAGCAGACATCAAGAAAATATTTTTAAAGGATTTATTTATAAAAAGGGTCTAAATAAGGTGAGATAAGTTAAAACAAAGTAACACTTTATGTTGCTAACAAGTGAACCTAAATAGAGTAAAATATCACCTGGCTTCCTTCGCATTTGTCATAAATCAGCATTTCTTTA